AGCGAACCAGCTGTTTGAGCGAATCAGCTGTTTGAGCGAATCAGCAGTTGTTTGAGCGAATCAGCAGTTGTTTGAGCGAATCAGCTGTTTGAGCGAATCAGCAGTTGTTTGAGCGAATCAGCAGTTGTTTGAGCGAATCAGCAGTTGTTTGAGCGAATCAGCAGTTGTTTGAGCGAATCAGCAGTTGTTTGAGTGAATCAGCTGTTTGAGTGGATCAGTTTTTTGAGCGAATCAGCTGTTTGAGCGAATCAGCTGTTTGTTTGAGTGAATCAGCTGTTTGAGCGAATCAGCTGTTTGAGCGAATCAGCTGTTTGTTTGAGTGAATCTGCTGTTTCAGTTGTTTGAGTGAATCAGCTGTTTGAGCGAATCAGCTGTTTGTTTGAGTGAATCTGCTGTTTGAGTGAATCTGCTGTTTCAGTTGTTTGAGTGAATCAGCTGTTTGTTTGAGCGAATCAGCTGTTTGAGTGAATCAGTTTTTTGAGCGAATCAGCTGTTTGAGCGAATCAGCTGTTTGTTTGAGCGAATCAGCTGTTTGAGCGAATCAGCAGTTGTTTGAGCGAATCAGCAGTTGTTTGAGCGAATCAGCAGTTGTTTGAGCGAATCAGCAGTTGTTTGAGTGAATCAGCTGTTTGAGTGGATCAGTTTTTTGAGCGTATCAGCTGTTTGAGTGAATCAGCTGTTTGAGTGAATCAGTTTTTTGAGCGAATCAGCTGTTTGAGTGAATCAGCTGTTAGAGCGAATCAGCTGTTTGAGCGAATCAGTTGTTAGAGCGAATCAGCTGTTTGAGCGAATCAGCTGTTTGAGCGAATCAGCTGTTTGTTTGAGTGAATCAGCTGTTTGAGTGAATCAGCTGTTTGAGTGAATCAGCTGTTAGAGCGAATCAGCTGTTTGAGCGAATCAGTTGTTAGAGCGAATCAGCTGTTTGAGTGAATCAGCTGTTTGAGCGAATCAGCTGTTTGAGTGAATCAGCTGTTTGAGCGAATCAGCTGTTTGAGCGAATCAGCTGTTTGAGTGAATCAGCTGTTAGAGCGAATCAGCTGTTTGAGTGAATCAGCTGTTTGAGTGAATCAGCTGTTTGAGTGAATCAGCTGTTAGAGCGAATCAGCTGTTTGAGCGAATCAGCTGTTTGTTTGAGTGAATCAGCTGTTTGAGCGAATCAGCTTTTTTTTTCGAGCGAATCAGCTGTTTGAGCGAATCAGCTGTTTGTTTTAGTGAATCTGCTGTTTGAGTGAATCTGCTGTTTCAGTTGTTTGAGTGAATCAGCTGTTTGTTTGAGCGAATCAGCTGTTTGAGCGAATCAGCTTTTTTTTTCGAGCGAATCAGCTGTTTGAGCGAATCAGCTGTTTGTTTGAGAGAATCTGCTGTTTCAGTTGTTTGAGGTAATCAGTTGTTTGAGGGAATCAGTTGTTTGAGGGAATCAGCTGTTTGAGCGAATCAGCTGTTTGAGCGAATCAGCTGTTTGAGCGAATCATTTGTTTGAGCGAATCATTTGTTTGAGTGAATCAGCTGTTTGAGTGAATCAGCTGTTTGAGCGAATCAGCTGTTTGAGCGAATCAGCTGTTTGAGGGAATCAGCTGTTTGAGCGAATCAGCTGTTTGAGCGAATCAGCTGTTTGAGCGAATCAGCTGTTTGAGCGAACCAGCTGTTTGAGCGAATCAGCTGTTTGAGCGAATCAGCTGTTTGAGCGAATCAGCTGTTTGAGCGAATCAGTTGTTTGAGCGAATCAGCTGTTTGAGCGAATCAGCTGTTTGAGCGAATCAGCTGTTTGAGCGAATCAGTTGTTTGAGTGTATCAGCTGTTTGAGTGAATCAGCTGTTTGAGTGAATCAGCTGTTTGAGCGAATCAGCTGTTTGAGCGAACCAGCTGTTTGAGCGAATCAGCTGTTTGAGCGAATCAGCAGTTGTTTGAGCGAATCAGCAGTTGTTTGAGCGAATCAGCAGTTGTTTGAGCGAATCAGTTGTTTGAGCGAATCAGCTGTTTGAGCGAATCAGCAGTTGTTTGAGCGAATCAGCAGTTGTTTGAGCGAATCAGCAGTTGTTTGAGCGAATCAGCAGTTGTTTGAGCGAATCAGCAGTTTGAGTGAATCAGCTGTTTGAGTGGATCAGTTTTTTGAGCGAATCAGCTGTTTGAGCGAATCAGCTGTTTGTTTGAGTGAATCAGCTGTTTGTTTGAGTGAATCTGCTGTTTCAGTTGTTTGAGTGAATCAGCTGTTTGAGCGAATCAGCTGTTTGTTTGAGTGAATCTGCTGTTTGAGTGAATCTGCTGTTTCAGTTGTTTGAGTGAATCAGCTGTTTGTTTGAGCGAATCAGCTGTTTGAGTGAATCAGTTTTTTGAGCGAATCAGCTGTTTGAGCGAATCAGCTGTTTGTTTGAGCGAATCAGCTGTTTGAGCGAATCAGCTGTTTGTTTATGTGAATCTGCTGTTTCAGTTGTTTGAGTGAATCAGCTGTTTGTTTGAGCGAATCAGCTGTTTGAGCGAATCAGCTGTTTGAGGTAATCAGTTGTTTGAGGGAATCCGTTGTTTGAGGGAATCAGTTGTTTGAGTGAATCAGCTGTTTGAGCAAATCAGTTGTTTGAGTGAATCAGCTGTTTGAGTGAATCAGTTGTTTGAGTGAATCAGTTGTTTGAGTGAATCAGTTGTTTGAGTGAATCAGCTGTTTGAGTGAATCAGCTGTTTGAGCGAATCAGCTGTTTGAGTGAATCAGCTGTTTGAGCGAATCAGTTGTTAGAGCGAATCAGTTGTTAGAGCGAATCAGCTGTTTGAGCGAATCAGCTGTTTGAGCGAATCAGCTGTTTGTTTGAGTGAATCAGCTGTTTGAGCGAATCAGCTGTTAGAGCGAATCAGCTGTTTGAGTGAATCAGCTGTTTGAGTGAATCAGCTGTTAGAGTGAAACAGCTGTTTGTTTGAGCTAATCAGCTGTTTGTTTGAGTGAATCAGCTGTTTGAGCGAATCAGCTGTTTGTTTGAGTGAATCTGCTGTTTGTTTGAGTGAATCTGCTGTTTGAGTGAATCTGCTGTTTCAGTTGTTTGAGTGAATCTGCTGTTTGTTTGAGCGAATCAGCTGTTTGAGCGAATCAGCTGTTTGAGTGAATCAGTTTTTTGAGCGAATCAGCTGTTTGAGCGAATCAGCTGTTTGAGCGAATCAGCTGTTTGTTTGAGCGAATCAGCTGTTTGAGCGAATCAGCTGTTTGTTTGAGTGAATCTGCTGTTTCAGTTGTTTGAGTGAATCAGCTGTTTGTTTGAGAGAATCAGCTGTTTGAGCGAATCAGCTGTTTGTTTGAGTGAATCTGCTGTTTGAGTGAATCAGCTGTTTGTTTGAGCGAATCAGCTGTTTGAGCGAATCAGCTGTTTGAGCGAATCAGCTGTTTGAGCGAATCAGCTGTTTGTTTGAGCGAATCAGCTGTTTGTTTGAGTGAATCTGCTGTTTCAGTTGTTTGAGTGAATCAGCTGTTTGTTTGAGAGAATCAGCTGTTTGAGCGAATCAGCTGTTTGAGGTAAACCGTTGTTTGAGGGAATCAGTTGTTTGAGTGAATCAGCTGTTTGAGCGAATCAGCTGTTTGAGCAAATCATTTGTTTGAGCGAATCAGCTGTTTGAGTGAATCAGCTGTATGAGTGATCAGTTGTTTGAGTGAATCAGCTGTTTGAGTGAATCAGTTGTTTGAGTGAATCAGTTGTTTGAGTGAATCAGCTGTTAGAGCTAATCAGCTGTTTGAGTGAATCAGCTGTTTGAGTGAATCAGCTGTTTGAGTGAATCAGCTGTTTGAGTCAATCAGCTGTTAGAGCGAATCAGCTGTTTGAGTGAATCAGCTGTTTGAGTGAATCAGCTGTTTGAGCGAATCAGCTGTTTGAGTGAATCAGCTGTTAGAGCGAATCAGTTGACGAGGACCGATTAAGAGTCGAATGCTGCTTTCCTTGAATTAATGTGATTTGTGAGCAGTGTTTTGCTCTTACACTGCCTTGCGGTGCCAAACATGTGCAGTGTCAAACTACGTTACGACTAGACTATTTTCGTAATATTCTCATTTTCCACTAGATATTTTCCTCTATATCTCATCAGCAATTTCGATGTCGGCAGCTCTGCAGCAGCTGAGCACTAAGGAGCGAATGTACAGTGACGTGACATCACTGCCAGATTCAAACTGCGTGCTTTCGCGTTATGGCTGGCGCTGAGCCAAAGACGGACGCGCCCAGCGCTTGTCATAGGCTATATCACAACTGTTCAGTGTTTTTAACCACATAATGTTTATTTTAGGTTTCAGACATTTAAATACATATAATTTATAGCAAAACAATACATTTATAGTTTGTAAAATACACAATGGTGTCTATGGAAGCTAATAACAACTCATTCAAATATATTTGACGACGGTTTTTATTCATATCAGAGAGACACAGTGTAAATAACTATAAAGTCAACTCTATTTTTCTCCCAGTTCACCGGCCACTTTTATGTATTTCGGGAGAAACTGGTGAATTCACGCGCTGTAATAAATCCAACAGACAAATCTCTGGTCTGCGGCCCAAACACGGCGCCCATCTCACGTTACAGATCAAGATAATTTCTAACGTTTTTTTAAACGACAAAAAATCACTTACACATATTTGAGAATCGGAATAGAAGATAGTTCATGACATGGTAAGCAAAGTTTGTTAATATTTAGAAATAAAAGCGCTAAATCTGTCATACAGCGCTATTTTGGCTGTGGTGAATCACGTGCCAAGCATGACGCGTCACCATGAAAACAGGGGACACACGATGTTCAGCCAATGCTGTCTAAACATCGTGATGTCTGTCAGCCATCACGATGGACGATGATATCGCCCATCGGCCCAACCCTACAATCAACACTTAAGTTGCTTTCACCGGCCCCAATGCAGTGCTAAATGTTGCCTCCTCTGATGTGACTGTGTGTGTGTGTGAGTAGGTGGCAGTGTGGACATCGATCTGGAGTTGTGTGTTGTCTCCTCTGATGTCTCTGTGGTGTGTGTGTGTGTGTGTAGGTGGCAGTGTGGACATCGATCTGGAGGTGTTTGTGAACCGCTCTATGGCCCCGGAGCTGAACTCAGGCCAGCAGCAGCTCGAGGATATTCTGGTCCTGCACCTGGAGAGGGGGAAAGATTACTTCATCTCCGTCACGGGCTCGTACCTGCCCAGCTGCTTCGGCTCGTCTCTCGCCACACTGTGTCTGCTGAGGGAACCCATCCAGGAGATGCCGCTCGACACCGTCAGAGAGCTGGTGAGAGAGGCACTCTTTCTGACTGATCCACAAACCGCTTGAGTTTTGAACCATGCATAGGGGGCGTGTCCACTCATGATGGGGGAGGAGAGAGTGAGTGAGCCTATCAGCACTAGGGGGCGTATCCACTCATGATGGGGGAGGAGAGAGAGTGAGCCAATCAGCAGTAGGGGGCATGTCCACTCATGACAGGGGAGGAGAGTGAGCCAATCAGCAGTAGGGGGCGTGTCCACTCATGATGGGGGAGGAGAGAGAGAGTGAGCCAATCAGCAGTAGGGGGCGTGTCCACTCATGATAGGCGAGGAATGAGAGAGTGAGCCAATCAGCAGTAGGGGGCGTGTCCACTCATGATGGGGGAGGAGAGAGAGAGTGAGCCAATCAGCAGTAGGGGGCGTGTCCACTCATGATAGGCGAGGAATGAGAGAGTGAGCCTATCAGCACTAGGGGGTGTGTCCACTCATGATGGGGGAGGAGAGAGAGTGAGCCAATCAGCAGTAGGGGGCATGGCCACTCATGATGGGGGAGGAGAGAGAGTGAGCCAATCAGCAGTAGGGGGCGTGTCCACTCATGATGGGCGAGGAATGAGAGAGTGAGCCAATCAGCAGTAGGGGGCGTGTCCACTCATGATGGGGGAGGAGAGAGAGAGTGAGCCTATCAGCAGTAGGGGGTGTGTCCACTCATGATGGGGGAGGAGAGAGAGTGAGCCAATCAGCAGTAGGGGGCATGTCCACTCATGATGGGGGAGGAGAGAGAGAGTGAGCCTATCAGCAGTAGGGTACGTGTCCACTCATGATGGGGGAGGAGAGAGAGAGTGAGCCTATCAGCAGTAGGGGGCATGTCTGTTGATGTTCACGCCGCAAAATCTTCATATTTCCACAACAAGATCAACAGCGCCTCTAACACACGTTCACTGTTCAAGACATTCAATTCTCTCCTCTGTCCACCTCCACCACCACCCACCTCCTCTTTAACTGCTGATGATTTTGCTAACTTCTTCACTAACAAAACTACCACTATCAGCAGTCAGTTCTCAGCACAGGAACCCAGACTAACCTCTCCCACAGCCAATAACCTTCTCTCCTCCTTCACTCCACTAACCGAGGAAGAAGTATCTAAACTTCTCCTCTCCAGTCATCCTACCACCTGCCCTCTAGACCCCATCCCCTCACACCTTCTACAAGCCATCTCTCCCACACTTCTACCAGCTCTCACACACATTATCAACTCATCCCTCCACACTGGCATTTTCCCTACAGCATTTAAGCAGGCTCGGGTAACCCCTCTGCTTAAAAAATCAACATTAAACACATCACTTCTAGAGAACTACAGACCTGTCTCTCTCCTACCATTCATTGCGAAAACACTTGAACGAGTTACTTTTAACCAAGTATCATCCTTCCTGTCCCTGAACAACCAGCTGGATGTCAACCAATCTGGCTTCAAGAAAGGACATTCAACTGAGACTGCATTGCTGTCAGTCACGGAAGCCCTGCGGGTCGCAAAAACTGCTTCCAAATCATCAGTTCTCATTCTACTGGACCTGTCTGCTGCCTTCGACACTGTGAATCATCAGATCCTCTTGTTCGCCCTCTCATCACTGGGCATCACTGGAACCTCCCTCAACTGGTTTAAGTCCTACCTCACAGGTAGGTCCTTCAAGGTCACATGGAGAGGTGAGGTATCCAAAGCACATCAACTGACCACAGGCGTTCCTCAGGGTTCAGTTCTCGGACCGCTCCTCTTCTCCATTTACACCACATCACTGGGACCTATCATACAGGCACATGGTTTCTCTTACCATTGCTATGCTGATGACACCCAGCTCTACCTCTCATTTCAACCAGATGACCCCACAGTAGCTGTACGGATCTCAAGCTGTCTGGCGGACATCTCGGCATGGATGAAGGAACATCACCTGCAGCTCAACCTGGCAAAGACTGAGCTTCTCGTCCTCCCTGCCAATCCGTCTCTACAGCACGACCTCACTATCCAGCTAGATTCATCCTCAATCACCCCATCAAGGTCGGTCAGAAATCTTGGAGTAATCTTTGATGATCAGCTGACCTTCACAGACCACATTACAAAGACAGCTCGATCATGCAGGTTTGCTATGCACAACATCAGGAAGATCAGGCCTTTCCTAACTGAGCATGCAACACAACGTCTCGTCCAGGCCCTGGTCATTTCTAGGCTTGATTACTGCAATGCTCTTCTGGCTGGACTTCCATCATGTGCAACTAAACCTCTACAAATGATCCAGAATGCTGCAGCTCGTCTGGTCTTCAACGAGCCCAAAAGGGCCCACGTCACTCCTCTGTTCATCTCTCTGCACTGGCTACCACTCGCTGCTCGCATCAAGTTCAAGGCTTTGACGCTTGCTTACAGATTGACCACAGGTTCAGCTCCCTCCTACTTCCACTCACTACTACAAGTCTACATCCCTACCAGAAGCCTACGATCGGTCTATGAGCGACGGCTCGTGGTACCATCACAGCGGGGCACAAAATCACTCTCCAGAACATTCTCATTCACAGTTCCATGCTGGTGGAATGATCTCCCCACCCTCATCCGGAATGCAGAATCCCTGACAACATTCAAAAGACAACTGAAAACTCATCTCTTCCGGGAGCACTTAACATAAAAAAAAAAAAAAAAAAAAAAAAAAAAAAAAAATCCTTTCCTCTAAATCCTCGCTTGCCTGGCTTATGCTACTCCGAGCTATGTCTGAACTTTGTATTTTGAGCACTTCTTGCGTTGCTTTTGCCTCTTCACGATGACTCGCTTGGTTTAGTCCTCAGTTGTAAGTCGCTTTGGATAAAAGCGTCTGCTAAATGACTAAATGTAAATGTAAATGTAAATGTCCACTCATGACAGGGGAGGAGAGTGAGCCAATCAGCAGTAGGGGGCGTGTCCACTCATGATGGGGGAGAAGAGAGAGAGTGAGCCAATCAGCAGTAGGGGGCGTGTCCACTCATGACGGGGGAGGAGAGAGAGTGAGTCAATCAGCAGTAGGGGGCGTGTCCATTCATGACAGGGGAGGAGAGAGAGTGAGTCAATCAGCACTAGGGGGTGTGTCCACTCATGATGGGGAGGAGAGAGAGAGTGAGCCTATCAGCAGTAGGGGGTGTGTCCACTCATGATGGGGAAGGAGAGAGAGCGTGAGCCAATCAGCACTAGGGGGTGTGTCCACTCATGATGGGGTAGGAGAGAGAGAGTGAGCCTATCAGCAGTAGGGGGCGTGTCCACTCATGACAGGGGAGGAAAGAGAGAGTGAGCCTATCAGCACTAGGGGGTGTGTCCACTCATGATGGGGGAGGAGAGAGAGTGTGAGCCAATCAGCACTAGGGGGCATGTCCACTCATTATGGGGGAGAAGAGAGAGAGTAAGCCTATCAGCACTAGGGGGCATGTCCACTCATGACAGGGGAGGAGAGTGAGCCAATCAGCAGTAGGGGGCGTGTCCACTCATGACAGGGGAGGAGAGAGAGTGAGTCAATCAGCAGTAGGGGGTGTGTCCACTCATGATGGGGGAGGAGAGAGAGTGAGCCAATCAGCAGTAGGGGGCGTGTCTTCTCATGATGGGGGAGGAATGAGAGAGTGAGCCAATCAGCAGTAGGGGGCGTGTCCACTCATGATGGGGGAGGAGAAAGAGTGAGCCAATCAGCAGTAGGGGTCGTGTCCACTCATGATGGGGGAGGAGAAAGAGTGAGCCAATCAGCAGTAGGGGTCGTGTCCACTCATGATGGGGGAGGAATGAGAGAGTGAGCCAATCAGCAGTAGGGGGCGTGTCCACTCATGATGGGGGAGGAGAGAGAGTGAGCCAATCAGCAGTAGGGGGCATGTCCACTCATGATGGGGGAGGAGAGAGAGAGTGAGCCAATCAGCAGTAGGGGGCGTGTCCACTCATGATGGGGGAGGAATGAGTGAGCCAATACGCAGTAGGGGGCGTGTCCACTCATGATGGGGGATGAATGAGAGAGTGAGCCAATCAGCATTAGGGGGTGTGTCCACTCATAATGGGTGAGGAATGAGTGAGCCAATCAGCAGTAGGGGTAGGCTTGCCGCGATAGACGGTGTTGACGGTGTTACCGGTTTTAAGCGCCATCACCGGTGACATCACTTTCCCACCGTGACACCGCGATGTCTTGACTTTTTTTAAAGTATTCGTTTTTGCTAAAATATTTATTTGAATTAATTAAAAATAATAATTATCTATTATTTAATTCAGAAGAGAGCATACATTATAATTAAAAACTGAACTGCGCAGTGCGTGCCAAGAGCCAGTCATGTCACAGATCAGCAAGCATCAGGAGTCAAATTCCATTTAGCACGTGTGGAGATTTTATATTCGTCTCTTAGACCCCATTTACACCTGGTATTAAAATGAGATCTGTATCCAGATAAGTTATCCGGATAATAAGTGTTCTGATCTTACCGATTCCATTTACACCTGGCCACATAAATGTGTTTTTGCAAAACGGATATAAATCCGACTTCAACTCCCGCGCTATGATTTAATGGATTGCACGCCACCGAAAGCAACAGAGGTGAGCTGCATTTTATTGATCATCAGCTCATTTCAAAATCAAAGACAGCAATAAGAAAAAGTGGCAACAGCCCTGGTAAGATAATTTCGTTTTTTTACTTGAAGATGATTGTGTGTTAAGCGTCTGTGTCTGTGACTTACTTTCACTTTTATTTGCGATGTTTGCACGTTGGCTTGATGAATAGACGCTCAGCTGCTCATCTGCGGTAATGCGTGTTGCAGTAGCGTCGTCATATCTGACATGAAATAGCCTAGCCTATATAACACTCTCACACGTTTATTTTTTTTAGCATTTTTGGGAGGAGTAAAATATACATATGTGGTTTCCACAACCAGATTGCGTTTACACCTAGTAAAGATCCGAACACAATGCAGCCAGACTACCTCCAGATGTGGTCAGGCAGATCCGATCACAATCCGATCACAACGTATTTACACCTTGCAAATGCGGTTTTTATTATCTGGATAACTTATCTGGATACAGATCGCATTTTAATACCAGGTGTAAATGGGGTCTTATTTATTTGGTTTTATCTTATTTAAACTTTGTGTAATTTATTTAGGCCTATTTTATTTTCTTATTCGTTAATAAACGTTTTATGGTTCTTATTTGTTTGGGCCCAGTTTGCCGATTTTCACTTTTTTCAGCCTATGCATGGGGTTATTTTTATTCGTTCGTTATGCTAATAAAAGTTCTGTCTATAAATAAAAAAATTATTATCAGCGAGTTTTTTTTGTCCATTCAAGCAATTGACGCTGAATTGCCAATTGACGCTTATTTCGAAAGTGAAAGTATAACGCGCACGCATTTAAAAGCTATTTAACTCCCCCGCCCCGCCCCCCACGGTGACACCGGGATTACCGGTGTTGTCACACGTCGATTAACCGGTGGGAAAATTTCCTCACCGCCGCAACCCTAAGTAGGGGGCGTGTCCACAAATGATGGGGGAGGAATGAGAGAGTGAGCCAATCAGGAGTAGGGGGCGTGTCCACTCATGATGGGGGAGGAGAGAGCGAGTGAGCCTATCAGCACTAGGGGGCCTGTCCAGTCATGATGGGGGAGGAGAGAGAGTGAGCCAATCAGCAGTAGGGGGCATGTCCACTCATGACAGGGGAGGAGAGTGAGCCAATCAGCAGTAGGGGGCGTGTCCACTCATGATGGGGGAGGAGAGAGAGTGAGCCAATCAGCAGTAGGGGGCATGTCCACTCATGATGGGGGAGGAGAGAGAGTGAGCCAATCAGCAGTAGGGGGCATGTCCACTCATGACAGGGGAGGAGAGTGAGCCAATCAGCAGTAGGGGGCGTGTCCACTCATGATGGGGGAGGAGAGAGAGAGTGAGCCTATCAGCAGTAGGGGGCGTGTCCACTCATGATGGGGGAGGAGAGAGAGAGTGAGCCAATCAGCAGTAGGGGGCGTGTCCACTCATGATGGGGGAGGAGAGAGAGAGTGAGCCAATCAGCAGTAGGGGGCGTGTCCACTCATGATGGGGGAGGAGAGAGTGAGCAAGAGGGACATTTTTAGAAAGACTGTAGAAAGAGAGATGGCTGAGAGACATTACAAAAGAGAAAAGCTCAGAGGAATATAGGTGGAGGAAGAAGGGTTATGATTAGGCCAAAACTTTAGGAACCTTGTTAATATTAGTTATTTTTGGGGTGGAGCAATGAAGTGAGGGGTGTGTTTGTTAGTGCTTCTCAGAAATGGTTTCCTGCACCTTTAACATTGGCATGTTTCTTCTTCAATAATCAAATATAATATACGGCTATTAGAGAGATTGGTAAGATTTTTTATGTTTTTGAAAGTAGTCTCTTCTGCTCACCAAGGCTGCATTTATTTAATCATAAATACAGTAATATTGTGAAATATAATTTTAATGTAAATCAGCTGTTTTCTATGTGAATATATAGTAAAGTGTAATTTATTCCTGTGATCAAAGCTGGATTTTCAGCATCATTACTCCAGTCTTCAGTGTCACATGATCCTTCAGAAATCACTCTAATATGATGTTTTGCTGCCCAAGAAACATTTATGATTATTATTATTATAATATCAGTTGAAAACAGTTTCATATTTTTGTGGAAACAATTACACACTTTATTTTGCAGGATTATTTAATGAACAGAAAGTAAAAAAAAAAAACAGCTTTTATTTGACATGGAATTTTTTGTAACAGTATAATTGTCTTTTCTTTTGATCAGTTCGATGTCTCTTAAGTTTAGATTCAAGAAAGCCTTTTGCAATCAGGCAATGGAGACATTTCTGGACCGTATTTAAATGTTCTATTATCATAAACTATTTTTTTTGTGTGTTATATCAGAGTATGAAGTCAAAAAGCCAGGCGAGTGACCCAGAGACGGATAAACCTCAAGAAATCCCCAAGGAATTATGGATGATGGTGGACCATCTCTTCCGTTATGCAAAAAAACAGGTCAGGACTTGCTTAAACTCGTCGCTTTGCCTGTTTAAAAACATTCAAACTGTGCTTTTGTGATTCTGTGCTGCTGTTCTAGCTGTTTGTCTTTGTTATGGTCTCCCATTGAGCTCCTCTCCATAGAAACACCAACACTAAAGCAGGAATCTGTTCAGCGCTCGCCTTGGGAGTTGTTTCAGTAACAAGAATTTAAAATTCCCCAAATCGTCCTTTGTTGTTGAGAGATGGCTGGCTGAATTACTCATGTGATTGACTGAACTGGCTGTAAATGAAACTTTAAAGTACAATGACTGGAGTTCATCCAAGGACTTTGAAAGCAGCCCTGATGATGTTGTTGTGGTGTGTGTGTGTGTGTGTGTTACAGGAAGACCTGTTTCAGCAGCCCGGCCTGCGCAGTGAGTTCGAGGAGATTCGGGATTGTTTGGACACGGGCAGCTTGGACACTCTCCGTATCCTTTCACACGCTCACTGTATAATAAACGTCTGTGGTCTGAACTGACTCGGACTAAAAGTCTCCTTCATTTCTGGATAATTCCAGAAATTAAAATGTTTTTCTTCTTTTTGCCACTGCATAAATAGACCAGGTGAAAAAAGCACATATTCCAAGTGTAGTCCAATGGAATAAGTAATTCATGGGATACTGTATGGGTGACCTTGTTCTTTTTCACATTGCAAAAGCAGAATAAAAACAAAGATATAAAGTTTTTTTTTTTACGTTACATTAAAGTGCCCCATTATGCCATTTTAAAGGTTCCTAAGGTCTTCTACAACACGTTTACATGCATCCAAGGTCAAAAACACTTTAAAGGATTAGTTCACTTTTAAAAAAACTTTTGCTGATAATTTACTCACCCCCATGTCATCCAAGATGTCCATGTCTTTCTTTCTTCAGTCGAAAAGAAATTAAGGTTTTTGATGAAAACATTCCAGGATTTTTCTCCATATAATGCACTTTGCTGGGCAGCAAACGGTTCAAGGTCCAAAAGACAGTTTCAGTGCAAACTGTTCAAATGGCTTTAAACGACACCAGACGATGAATAAGGGTCTTATCAAGCGAAACGATCGCTCATTTAAAAAATAAATAACAAAGGTTAAGTTTTATAAGCTTAAATGCTCGCCTTGCTCTGTTCTGTGTAACTCTCCTGTTCGAACTCGTTCATCAAAATGAACTAATCTTTTTCCGAGTCAATTCGTTAATTTCTTTCGTTAAATGAATCAAATGACTCGAAAAAAGATTTGTTCATTTTGATGAACGAGTTCGAACAGGAGAGTCACGAACGTGCATCACAGAACAGAGAAAGGCGAGCATTTGACATTATTAAACTTAAACTTTGTTATTTCTTTTTTAAATGAGCGATCGTTTCGCTTGATAAGACCCTTATTCATCGTCTGGTGTCGTTTAAAGCCATTTGAACAGTTTGCAGTTTGCACTGAAACTGTCTTTTGGACCTTGAACCGTTTGCTGCCCAGCAAAGTGCATTATATGGAGAAAAATCCTGGAATGTTTTCATCAAAAACATTAATTTCTTTTCGACTGAAGAAAGAAAGACATGGACATCTTGGATGACATGGGGGTGAGTAAATTATCAGCAAAAGTTTTTTTTAAAGTGAACTAATCCTTTAATATTCTCATACTCTCCACTGCAGCATCAGCTCTTTCTCTCAGTGTCTGAAACGCTCCGATAAAGATTCAGTCTCTCTAAACCCCGCCTCTCTGAGAGCTGCTCTGCTCTGATTGGTCAGAAACCAAACGCTCATTATCATATCTGAATCTCAGCTCTTGATCACAGTGATACGAACAGTAACTATGGCGTGGGTTTTACCGAATCAATCTCATTAAAGTGGATTTGCTTTGTCAGCAGAAAACAGCGTCTTCTCGACACGAACAACACGAACCGAACTCTCCAGTCTCAGATACACTACACAGTGTTTGAGGGCGGAGCTACGAGACGCTGTTCAGCCAATCAGGACTATATACTGGCATTATGCAAATGTGTTTCAAACCTGTAGATTCAGCAGAAGAGAGACTAGAATTACTGACGACACTCGATTCTTTCTTCTGGGAGACAAAAACTCCTCTATTACACAATACATGAAAGGCAATATCCCCAAAAACCTAATAGGGGCACTTAAAAATAAAAATATTTATATACTAAAATATAAATGCAGGTGTCAACTTCTAAAATCAGATAGTTTTGTGACCAAAATAATAAAAAATATACAATTATTTTAAGCAGTTTTTAAAGGGGTCATATAATGCCATTTTTGTACAAGCTAATATGATTCTTTAGGGTCTAAATTAAAAGTTTGTAATATACTTTAATTAAAAATTCTCATTAGTATTGTAAGAAAACACTTATTTTACCTGGTCAAAAACAGCTCTGTTTTCAGCATGCCGTTTCAGTGCATATGACTTTAAATGATAATGAGCTTTGCTCACTCCACCTCTCTGTTCTGTGTACCCCGTTTGTAACACAATAACCATAACGTGTTGTTCATTATAAACGTGGGATTATGAATTATATTGAGAACGTCGTACATAGAAAACATGCTGTAATGTACCCTGAGTGTAAACCGACGCATTCATCGTGAAGCGTGCAGCTAGCGATTTGCAAAGATTATATAAAGATTAATATAAAGATTAATAAAACGTTACACTCACTTTAGTTCTTCTGAAGGTTCAGCAGGAACACGAATAGGTTTCGATCCTTTATTCATGAGCAGCTTCTCAGCAAAACCAGCTTTACACTGATCCTCGTTTATAAAGCAGTCTGCTGAGAAATGTTTCGGCAAACATGAGAGCATTGACGTTGCTCGTGGGGAATATTCCCTTCGAAAACAAACTCAGCCACTGCGTCTTCAGCGGTTCGGATTCAGGAACATTAAAATGACTGCTGTGTTCGTTATTACACCCAAGAACAGAACACCACAATCGCTTAGACGCCATTCTGCTCATAGACAGTGCTCCAGCATTTCAACAATGACCGCGCCGGTCCACGCAGACTATGATTGACAGGACGAGCGAGGGCGGGTCTGTGTTGAATCACTGCTGTCAATCAACAATCGCGGGAGGGGCGTCCGTTTTATTGACGTCACAAAAACGAACGGCTCAATTTGAGGCAGGGGAAAACATATAAGGAGATTAAAACAAAAACACTGGATGGATTTTTATCATTATATGATGGTTGTGTACAGGCACTGCCAACACACATTTCAGTACAATCAACTTGTAAAAACTACATTAAACTACATTACACACAGACTCCAGTTATTTCCAGTGATGTAGAAGTAACTGGGCATTTACATGTCATCCTGTAGCTGGTGCTTTTATCTTACAAATGAGCCACTAGTGAAGGTGGTCTGCTGTAGGTAACGATGATGAGAATGACCCTTGACCTGAGCGCTGTCAGCGGGCAGTAATCACTCCGTGGCCGAAGCCCTGCTCCTGTTCCTCGATGCGCTTCCCGAACCCGTTCTTCCCTTCTCCTTCTACCGGCAGTGCCTGGACATCAGCGGCGACAGCAGCCAGAGCAGACAGGTAGGTGTGTGTGTGTATGTGTGTGTGACCTTACTCTGTGTTACTCTGACTCTCACACACATCAGCGGCGACAGCAGCCAGAGCAGACAGGTGTGTGTGTGTGTGTGTGACCTTACTCTGTGTTACTCTGACTCTCACACACATCAGCGGCGACAGCAGCCAGAGCAGACAGGTGTGTGTGTGTGTGTGTGTGTGTGTGTGTGTGTGTGTGTGTGTGTGTGTGTGTGTGTGTGTGTGTGTGTGTGTGTGTGTGTGACTTTACTCTGTGTTACTCTTGACTCTCACACACATCAGCGCAGACAGCAGCCAGTGCAGACAGGTGTGTGTGTGTGTGTGTGTGTGTGTTAGCCATTTTTTTAGCCATTTTGACAAGCCCTACTACACACTAAAGACAGATGAAGGCGTGAAACAGCAGAATATCTCGACGCTTTTTCTGGTAACAAAGCATGTACAAATAATACTTACAATGTTTAAAAAAAAAAAAAAAACATTCTAAACCTGCCTGAAAAATAATAATAATAATAAAAACATCACTATTTCAGTGTAGCTTAATAAACCCAGTTGCATCTTCTTATTTATAACAACAACAATAATATTAACAACAGGCTAAATCAATTTACAAAGTCTAATGTTTTCAAATTGAGAATCTTCTGAACTTGATCATCAACCAGTGGATCTCTGAGCTGAGTGAGTGAGTGGAGGCGGGGCTCATTTGCATATTCATAGAGCCACGCATTATAAATGAGGTGAGGGTGTCGAGTTACATTCAAGATATTTTAAGCCATGACGAATTTTAATTAAATTAAATGTCATTGTGATCAGAGATGAGTTTTGAGGGATGAATGATCGACCACAGGGCGACTAACGGCTGCCGCGCAATTCTCAAAACGCCCACAAGATGCCGCCATTTATCGGTGAATCCGATATTACAATCCCGATACCTGATTATGGAAAAATGCTTACATTTTGAAAGAAATATCAGTTGAACCGATTATCGGTCGATCTCTATTTGAAATATTGCGGAATGTTTCTCCTGAATGCATTTTTAGATTTTCAGTCTAGTCAAATTTAAATGATTAATATAGTATTATAAAGTGCCCCTATTGTGCTTTTTCAGATATTATTTGATATTACATGAAATAATAATATCTGCAAAGTGGCGGTAAAACTTTAATAAACCAGAAAATGTTCTAGCTTTTGCTTTATCATCAATATAGTTGTGTAACGTTTCATTTTTCTTTCTGTCCACAGATCATTTCCATTCTACCTCAGTGCCATAGAAATGTGTTTAACTATGTGACGGCCTTCCTCCAAGAGCTGCTGAAACACTCGGCACACAATCGGCTGGACGCCGCTATTCTCGGTCGGTCGACGCTGCGCTTTCACTACTTGTTTCGTGTATTTTTGCCTGCAGGTTTTGAGAGCACAGGCCAGTTTCAATGGAAAGCAGAACTCAAACTTTGACTTTGCATTTCTGTGATTTCACTATGTTGTTATTACTCATTAAAACATTATTAATACCTTTGCTGGGAAAAAAAAAGAAAGCGTGAAGTTTTGATTTTCCAGGTTTCCTGCAGTCGTGGAACGTCACGAACTGTGAGTTTGATGGATGTTTCTCTGGTTTGCAGGCCCGATCTTCGCTGGCCTTTTGCTCCGGTCGCCCACAAAGCAAGATCTCACAGAGAAAAGGAAGGTGAAGGAGTTTTTCCAGCACTTCTTGGTCCAGACGCCCTCTGACAGAGACATTCATGATAAATCACCCCAATAACCGACTCCTTTCCTTGTTTCACATGCCTAGTTTTTTCCAGGTATCAGCAGAATTATGTCCATAAATTTTGTAGTTGCCATTTAATTCAAAGCATTTTAAACCGTTATTGAAACTAATTGGTTTTATTACAAATCAGATGGGAGTTTTTATTTGGAAAATAATGGTTATTTAATGAAATATATTTGTATTTTCAATGTTTGTAAATACAAAACAGCTGTTATTTTATATTAAATCTAAACAATCATAACAATCTCAGCGTTTGACTTTTCTTTGATCATATTAGAAGTGTGGATGCAAAATCACATAGAGGATTTAATTGAAAAATGATAATATTTTACCATGTATATCTTTGTCTTTTATGTTCATGCTCATTTTCAAGATTTTTCTCAGCCAATCTCAATAAAGCATTAAAGTAATGACTGGTTTAAGAGAATATTGTGCAAAGTAAAGGATTATTCCTCAAAACTGTTACAAGCAAGTATTTTAAAGTTCAGTCACTCAGTCATTATTTCAATATTGAGCATTTATTTAGCTGATAACATCCATTGTAATAAAAAAAAGGAAATATGAAATATATATATATTGCACTGAAGATAATAGTCTAATATAATACTAGTCTAAGATAATAATAATGAATGCCTCAAAAAGGTTTTAAATTACAGCGGAAAGTCTCAAATATATAAAGGCATGCCATTAAATGCTATATGCACTGAAAAGCTAATTCTTCCTCAGTATTTCTGTCTTGTTTTCCCAGACCAGTACATCTTAACATTCTTAAATCAAGATACATTTACTTGACAAGCAAAATGTAGTTTTGTTTTCTGATCAAAATGAACAACAAATATCTGTCGGTGGGATATAAAAAGTTGTTTTCCCTTTGAATTAAGTAGATTTTTCTGAGGTCATTGGAAGATACTGTATTTGTTGCTCTTTTAATCATAAACTCACTGAATTTTTATCAATGTTTGCATTGTTCTTCTAAAGTAGGGACATTTTCCCAGTCATCCCAATGGCAAACATGTCCCAATTTACCTCAATTGACCCTAAATGCATTTAATTTAAATATATAAATTAAATGATATATATATTTAGACATTTGTACTGGAAAACATGACAGAAATCCTGAGAAGGGCATCGCTTTATTGCAGTATGATCAGAAGGGACAGTAAAAGTGATGTTCATATTCTAGTGCTTGAGAGAAGTATTCAAGCAGTGAAAGGGTTTTTATTTTATTGTATCTATTTAAATGAATTAAAAAGTAATGTAGATGAATATGAAGTGGTATTTCGTTAGCAGTGTGTTGTGTGATGTTGTGAGTGTGCCTCTGAATCGAGCGATCTGAGCTGATCTGGGGTCAGTATGAGCTGCTGCTCTTCATGATGCTGCCGCTGAGGAATGAAGACAGGAGCCGATACACAACATTACACGGGCCTCGAGCGTCTCTATAACACTGGTAAACCCATCAGAGGATTGCTTGAATCTGCTTGATTTAATGCTGTAAGAGCGTGTCGTTGTCGTTCTGATATTTTAATGGCATGTCATGATACCATTAGAGTTTCTGTTCAATGCTAACGGGCTAAATCTGTTAGCATACATCCCATTGCCTACATGTCAGTTCTTTAACCATCATATAGTCACCGTTTTCAGAGTGTTTTACACTTTAACGGGTTAAAACGACAAGTGAACTGAGCTTTTGTCAAACGACAGTGTGTAATATAGTCTATAAACTGGTGTTAACGGCGTGCTAGTGAAGCTAACGCCTGTCATTGATGGGACTAGCACTTTAGCCTGTTAGCTTCTCTGCAGTCACCACCGTTTTAATTATTACATGAAATATGTGTGGCTTAATGATTTCAGCCCTTTTGTCTTGGGGATGTTATTCATGTTGATCGGACCGAAGCAGATGAACTAATGACTGGAGCTTCAACACACAGGTGAGCTAATCAGTTAGCAGGACTGACATGACAGCTTGTTTTTCTGGAAAACATACATTTGAAAAGGAATATATCACATTAATGACTGCTTGTCATTAGTGGCCGCATGCTAATTAACGTTAGGATCTCTAATGTGTTCGCGGGTTTCTCTAAATGTGTGTTTCAATTGATCAATGTGAACATGATCATGCTTGTCTTGTGATTGTCATCAATGTCAAAGTGAACATGGGAAACTTCTAGAAAGTGTCCAGAATGACAGAGCCTGATAAACTTACCTGTTTCAAGACTTATTGTGTTAAAATCATGACAGGTTTTGTTGTGTTGTCATAGTTTGTCCATTACTTTGAGACATAATGTCCTTTTTGTTACTGTCTAGTCGTGTGAGAAAAGCATTCTTGTGTCTCATATCAGCTGCTTTCCCACACAGTGTTTTGGAGCATAGTACACTGCTCTCTAGACAACATTATAACCTAGTAAGGATAGCATCGAAGTGTTGCCACAGCCCTTGTGTCTGAATTGTTGTGTGTTTTAGTTTAGTTTTGTTCAGATCATTGTGTGTGTGTGTTTGATATAGTGACATGAAAACAGTGGTTTCAGTTTACAAATGCTCTTTTACCCTGATTGTTTAGTAGTTCGTCTAACACCGGCCAAAAATAGTTTCCCTGCATTGTCCTACTTTCTCGTGACTGTATGAAACAGCAATTTTCCAACACATTATGTTGTTGTTTTATTGAAACCCCATCTATTACAACCAAACTGTACAACTTTCTGGTAGATTTGTATATTTTAAAGTGCTTACATTGATTTAAATGTACCTAGAAATGAGCATTTTTAACACACATTTTGCTTGAAAGTGCACGGATAACACTGTTATGCTTCTCGATAATAATAACCTGCGTTTATTATAATGAGTCAGTGTTATTTTAGTATTACTATTATTTTAGTTATATACTATTGTAGTATTTATTAATATTTTGAATGTACTATTATTATAAATCTACATTTTATATCCTATTTTATTTCATCTTTATTTAATTTACTGAAAATAATTTTTATTGGTTTTAGTTCGAGCTGTACGATTTTGGATAAAATGAGAATCACAATATTTTTTTTATTTTTTTTTTCAAATATGGATGACGATCCTGAACAGAAATAAAAAATTAGACTACTAGAGGTTCTGACAAAATATTAAACAACACTGTTTAACTAATCAGAATGAATATAAAAAAAATCTCTCGAATGAATGATTCAATGACTCACTCGTAAAGACTTCACTTGTTTCATTACTGGATGAATCAGCGTTTTGAATGAATCTTTTGAATGAATGATTCAATGACTCACTCGTAAAGACTTCACTTGTTTCATTACTGGATGAATCAGCGTTTTGAATGAATCTTTTGAATGAATGATTCAATGACTCACTCGTAAAGACTTAACTTGTTTCATTACTGGATGAATCAGCGTTTTGAATGAATCTTATGAATGAATGATTCAATGACTCACTCGTAAAGACTTCACTTGTTTCATTACTGGATGAATCAGCGTTTTGAATGAATCTTTTGAATTAATGATTCAATGACTCACTCGGAAAGACTTCACTTGTTTCATTACTGGATGAATCAGCGTTTTGAATGAATCTTTTGAATTAATGATTCAATGACTCACTCGGAAAGACTTCACTTGTTTCATTACTGGATGAATCAGCGTTTTGAATGAATCTTTTGAATGAATGATTCAATGACTCACTCGTAAAGACTTCACTTGTTTCATTACTGGATGAATCAGCGTTTTGAATGAATCTTTTGAATGAATGATTCAATGACTCACTCGTAAAGACTTAACTTGTTTCATTACTGGATGAATCAGCGTTTTGAATGAATCTTATGAATGAATGATTCAATGACTCACTCGTAAAGACTTCACTTGTTTCATTACTGGATGAATCAGCGTTTTGAATGAATCTTTTGAATTAATGATTCAATGACTCACTCGGAAAGACTTCACTTGTTTCATTACTGGATGAATCAGCGTTTTGAATGAATCTTTTGAATTAATGATTCAATGACTCACTCGGAAAGACTTCACTTGTTTCATTACTGGATGAATCAGCGTTTTGAATGAATCTTTTGAATGAATGATTCAATGACTCACTCGTAAAGACTTCACTTGTTTCATTACTGGATGAATCAGCGTTTTGAATGAATCTTTTGAATGAATGATTCAATGACTCACTCGTAAAGACTTCACTTGTTTCATTACTGGATGAATCAGCGTTTTGAATGAATCTTTTGAATGAATGATTCAATGACTCACTCGTAAAGACTTCACTTGTTTCATTACTGGATGAATCAGCGTTTTGAATTAATCTTTTGAATGAATGAATGATTCAATGACTCACTCGTAAAGACTTCACTTGTTTCATTACTGGATGAATCAGCGTTTTGAATGAATCTTTTGAATGAATGATTCAATGACTCACTCGTAAAGACTTCACTTGTTTCATTACTGGATGAATCGGCGTTTTGAATGAATCTTATGAATGAATGATTCAATGACTCACTCGTAAAGACTTCACTTGTTTCATTACTGGATGAATCAGCGTTTTGAATGAATCTTTTGAATGAATGATTCAATGACTCACTTGGAAAGACTTCACTTGTTTCATTACTGGATGAATCAGCGTTTTGAATGAATCTTTTGAATGAATGATTCAATGACTCACTCGTAAAGACTTCACTTGTTTCATTACTGGATGAATCAGCGTTTTGAATGAATCTTTTAAATGAATGATTCAATGACTCACTCGTAAAGACTTCACTTGTTTCATTACTGGATGAATCAGCGTTTTGAATGAATCTTTTGAATGAATGATTCAATGACTCACTCGTAAAGACTTCACTTGTTTCATTACTGGATGAATCAGCGTTTTGAATGAATCTTTTGAATGAATGATTCAATGACTCACTCGTAAAGACTTCACTTGTTTCATTACTGGATGAATCAGCGTTTTGAATGAATCTTTTGAATGAATGATTCAATGACTCACTCGTAAAGACTTCACTTGTTTCATTACTGGATGAATCAGCGTTTTGAATTAATCTTTTGAATGAATGATTCAATGACTCACTCGTAAAGACTTAACTTGTTTCATTACTGGATGAATCAGCGTTTTGAATGAATCTTTTGAATGAATGATTCAATGACTCACTCGTAAAGACTTCACTTGTTTCATTACTGGATGACTCAGCGTTTTGAATGAATCTTTTGAATGAATGATTCAATGACTCACTCGTAAAGACTTCACTTGTTTCATTACTGGATGAATCAGCGTTTTGAATGAATCTTATGAATGAATGATTCAATGACTCACTCGTAAAGACTTCACTTGTTTCATTACTGGATGAATCAGCGTTTTGAATGAATCTTTTGAATGAATGATTCAATGACTCACTCGTAAAGACTTCACTTGTTTCATTACTGGATGACTCAGCGTTTTGAATGAATCTTTTGAATGAATGATTCAATGACTCACTCGTAAAGACTTCACTTGTTTCATTACTGGATGAATCAGCGTTTTGAATTAATCTTTTGAATGAATGAATGATTCAATGACTCACTCGTAAAGACTTCACTTGTTTCATTACTGGATGAATCAGCGTTTTGAATGAATCTTTTGAATGAATGATTCAATGACTCACTCGTAAAGACTTCACTTGTTTCATTACTGGATGAATCAGCGTTTTGAATGAATCTTTTGAATGAAGGATTCAATGACTCACTCGTAAAGACTTCACTTGTTTCATTACTGAATGAATCAGCGTTTTGAATGAATCTTTTGAATGAATGATTCAATGACTCACTCGTAAAGACTTCACTTGTTTCATTACTGGATGAATCAGCGTTTTGAATGAATCTTTTAAATGAATGATTCAATGACTCACTCGTAAAGACTTCACTTGTTTCATTACTGGATGAATCAGCGTTTTGAATGAATCTTTTGAACGATTGATTCAATGACTGACTCACTCGTGAAGACTTCACTTGTTTCATTACTGGATGAATCAGCGTTTTGAATGAATGATTCAATGACTCACTCACAATGTCTCCGCCTACTGGTGTAACGATTTAATGATACAATCTTTATTTGAAGCATCAAGTTACTTTTAAAAGGTGATTTACTCTGTTTTGATAATTACTGTAGACATCAGTTTTTATATCTGAACTGTAACTTTTATCCCAGTACCTCTGTGACTAATCTGAATTATTGTAAGAGAAATAATGATAGCGTGTGTTGAAAAGCTGTTTCATGACAACGGCTCTCTCTGGTTCAGAACACAGATCTGAATGTTTGGTTTAATAGACAGAGCCGAATCACTGTCATTTAGGAATATGATTACGAGTGTTTGAATCGAGACCGCCATCTTTTAACGATTAATCGTGCGGCTCTAGCTTTAGTTAACAATAACAGCACTGATGAGGAAGTGAGTAGCCAGTTGAATCCGGTTCTCAGTTTGACTAACGAATGTTGTTTAAACTCGTTCCAGCCGCAACAAAAGCAAGCGCGTGGACCCAAACCCCGGACTGAGCTTTTCCGTCAGGATCATGGGAGAGAATGGTCCTCTCACGGAGACAGCCATGCTCTTTGAGGACGAGGAAGAAGACGTGGACAAACTGGGCCGAGAGGAGGAGGACGAGGACAAGATGCCGCGGTTCGAGCAGGACGACGACGAGCTGATCTCGGGCCCGTCGTCGTCCTCGGGCCGCATCTACGACCGCACGACGGTGCTGATCGAGCAGGACCCGATCCGGCTGGACGAGGAGGGCGAGGAGGACGGCATGGCGTTCGGGGAGGGCGAGGGGGACGAGGGCTCGCTGGCCTTCATGTGTGACCCCGATGGCATGTCGCAGGGGTACATTCACCACACCATCTCACCGGACCAGATCCAGTTCATCATCAACCCCGGGTCGACCCCTATGCCTCGCAACATCGAGGGCGCCACGCTCACGCTACACTCCGAGTGTCCCGAGACCAAGCAGAGAGAGGTGAGGACGAGCGTCGACTTATTCTGCTGTTTCACATCTTCGTTAGGGCTGTCACTTTTGAGACATACGTGTTCATTGAATCGATTGTAAAATCGATTTTCCATGTCTAAAGACGTTTCCATTTTCAACACCAAATACAGGCAAATCCACGGACACCTAACAGGCGTTAGGACGAGCGTAAAGAGGGCGCTTGAGACGCGGGATTGAGGGATTGAGATTAAGGGATTGAGATTAACTCCCTCGACTCGCCAAATGCGGGTAAAAATGAACTTTGGTGGGAAACGCTGTCAAATCACTAACGGTGTGTTTCTGTGTTTATCCACTTTGCTGGGGAAGTTCGTGTAAGACAAATCTGCGCGGATTTAGCGCAAATACGCAACTTGTGAGTCCTCATGATATATTAAATACAGTGTATTGCGCTGAATCTGCTCATTTCTGGCTTACTTGAACACACACGTCACTACGCAACAGATAATGGCGCGCTTGTTCACTTGCACTGAAGTAATAGAGAAGATTAAAAAGCATTTGGTGAACAGAAAACACATTGTTATTTTCCAGCATCCCACATGTTCTGTGTGCTGTATTGATCTGTCCACCTAAAACACATTTTTGGTAAAAAAAAAAAAATTACAATTACCGTTACAATCGATTCCCTATTTTCGGTCCGATCGATTGTGGAATCGATTTTCGAACGTAAAGTGACAGCGCTAATCTTCATCTGTCTTTAGTGTGTAATAGGGCTTGTCAAAATGGCTCATTTCTAGCTTAAATATTACCAGAGAGAGCGTAGACTTATTGCTTTTTCCCATGTTCATTTAAAACTGCAGATGGAAATTACAACAGCTGTAACGATAGACGTACGATGACAACATTGTTGTAATCACTTTTTCCAGCTGATGAATGATTTAAGCCATTTTCAGCCAATCAGAATCCACCTGACATTAAAGAGCTTGAACATTTAAAGCTGCAGACGAAAATGAAGCTGTGTGACGTCTGTCCGTATGAGGAGGTTGATCAAATAAGTGGGGGCTTGCCCGGGATAACATTGCCACCGTATTCTGAAACGTTTGTGTGGTGAATGTCATTAAGGTCTTAAGCTTAAGTTTTAAAGAGCACCTATTATGCTTTTCTCCATGTTCATTGGTCTTCAGTGTGTGATGTTGCTGTTTGAGCATGAAAAGCTCCAGTTCTTCTCTATATCAGTGTCAGTGTTTCTGAACTCCTGAAACGCCTCCATTGTAGTAATATTCCTCATTATAATAATTCATACGCAGAATAAAGGGGCGGGGTCTGGTTGAGTTAGTTAGTAGTGTGTTAAACTGGGTTTGGGAATCGAAGATCGAGTGTCCCGAGACCCAGCAGAGAGAGGAGAGGAACTCATGCTGTTTGTTAACAGAAAGAGCGTCGACTTACTCTGCTGTTTCACATCTTCATCTGTCTAATAGTGCTGTCAAAATGACTAAAAAAAAAGCTCATTTTTAATTTCTTGCTTAAATATTAGCAAAATTCGAACTATATTAGATTTCTAAAGGCAATACTATGTTAGAGGACAAAAGTACAGTATTGTCTCCTACGCCCACAAGAGGGTGCAAGCGAGCGCAATAAGCAAATAAACCAAATCAAGCATCACATCTTTTATTGAAATTAAATGACATTCACTTTTTAAAGTGCATTAACTTTTTCAAACAATTGTTCTTAAATAAAATATAATGTGCATGCAAGGAAAATAAGGTTACAAAATCAGTAACCTGAGAAAACACACTTCAACACACAGCGTGATGAACTACATGAACACACACACCAGCAAACTGCCGTTCAGAAACACTCACTTCTACTCTCTGCATCTACTGTTCGTCACACACAGCAGACGTGCGGAGCGCTCTCTGTCCACAGTGTTCCAGCTGATGAACACACACTCAGCTCTGACCGATGTGCAGATTTGGGCAAGTGTGTCTTTGCAAGATTTTTCCCACAAACTGAGAGGGTTTCAGCAGGAAAAGCCTTTTCCCGCCATTTTTCACATTAGCAGCGCAGCTGTCCGGGATAAGCTAACATCAACACACCGCGTCAGTGACGTCATCATCAGGTCTCGCACGCCTCTTTACACATTAAAAATTCTAATGCACAGTTTTTGCATTCGAATGTGCAGGTTTTTTTTATTTTTTTATTCAACGAATATTCAAAATTCTCATTTTTATGTGACAGCCCTAGTGTGTGATGTTGCTGTTTGAGCATGAGAAGCTCCAGTTCTTCTCTATATCAGTGTCAGTGTTCCTGAACTCCTGAAACGCCTCCATTGTAGTCTTGAGTTTCTCCCGGGAACGAACACGTCACAATATTCCTCATTATAATAATTCATACGCAGAATAAAGGGGCGGGGCCTGGTTGAGTTAGTTAGTAGTGTGTTGAAACTGGCGGTTATGGAAAGGGGCGGGACATTTCCCAAACACACTCGAAGCGCTCGGCCAATCACAACACACTGCTCCAGCCGACCAATCAGAGCACAGTGTGCTTTTCAGAAGGAGGGGCTTCATAGAGACAGGAACCAATCAGGGCTTGTGTTTCCCCAAAGCATCGTTGGCCAACTATATTCGCAAGTTCTGTCGTTATCAGCAGTTCAACGAGTCGGTGTTTCCCGAAACCATCGTTCCAACGAACATTCGCAAACAGCATCGCAGAGGTGTGTGTTTAAAACAACAGATCTCGAGCTGTGGTTAGAAGCAGTTTCTAGTATTTATAACAATGTGGACTCAATAAATGCTTATCTTGAGCAAAATAAGCAAGCTGACATTCAGTACAATCTTATATATCTTTTATTTAGAATACGTACAAATGTAATTCACGTCTTTTAGTTGGTCAAGAGACTTAAAGCACACAAGAGGTCCCCCGACCCTCATATAGCAGGTGTTGCTCTGCTTGGTCTCGCCGGACTGGTAAGGCCAGTTGTGTGTCCGTCATCACGCATGTTTGAGAGATGTGCTTGCTCAGTGAAAGCTGATCAGATAAGCCGGTCTAGAGGATGTGTTCAGCTCCAGGCCTGTGTTTGTTCATCCCACAGGATCTGTGTTTCCACATGATCTCACACCCGAGACAGGGTCCAGCCGCTGAGCTTCCCCATCTGTCAATCACACGAGGACTGTGTTCTCCGCACGACCCAGGCTCATTATGCCTAGTTCACTCTACAGGAGTTTAAAGGGGTGGTTCAGGATTTTGGACATCGGGCCTCATTTCCAAGTTAGCATTAGTGTTAATTATCAGTGGAGACAGTTTTCACAAGTTTTCATCCAGTCGTTCCAGTTGCATAGTTCGCCGGTGCTAGGCTAGCGCGAGTCAACGGTAACTGCTAGCCTGCCATTAAAAACAGTTTTACCCACTCCACAGAACACATAAAGCAAATACATTATAACGCCAGACTATCCATGTAAATGTCTGTTGAGAGAATAATGTTAGAAATCAAACTACTCTTGCATCTCTATGATCACAATACATTTACAGGAACTAGTTTCTCAGCGGCGGCGGAATTTTACTTTGCTCCGGTTAGTAGCACTGCGCCGAACAGTAAACACAGAACCGAAGCGCACTACAGTCGGGACTACCTGTACTAGCTCTCTCTCTCTCTCTACCTCTACCTGTCTCTCACTCTCTCTCACTACCCCTCTCTCTCTCTCTCACACACACACACACACATACACTACGCTCTCACACACACGCACACACTCACTCACTCACTTACTCTCTCTCTCTCTCTCTCTCTCTCTCTCTACCTCTACCTGACTCTCACTCTCTCTCACTACCCCTCTCTCTCTCTCACACACACACACACATACACTACGCTCTCACACACACGCACACACTCACTCACTCACTTACTCTCTCTCTCTCTCCCTCTCTCTCTACCTGTCTCTCACTCTCTCTCCCTCCCTCTCACTACCCCTCTCTCTCTCTCACACACACACACACTTACGCTCTCACACACACGCACGCGCACACACACACTCACTCACTTACTCTCTCTCTCACACACACATACACTTACGCTCACACACACGCACGCGCACACACTCACTCACTCTCTCACACACACACACATACACTTACGTTCTCACACACACGCACGCGCACACACTCACTCACTCACTCTCTCTCTCACACACACATACACTTACGCTTACACACACGCACGCGCACACACTTACTCTCTCTCACACACACACACACACACACACACATACACTTACGCTCTCACACACACGCACGCGCACACACTCACTCACTCTCTCTCTCACACACACACACACATACACTTACGCTCTCACACACACGCACACACTCACTCACTCACTCTCTCTCTCACACACACACACACACACATACACTTACGCTCTCACACACACGCACGCGCATACACTCACTCACTCACTCTCTCTCTCACACACACATACACTTACACTCTCACACACACGCACGCGCACACACTCACTCACTCTCTCTCTCTCTCACACACACACACACACACATACACTTACACTCTCACACACACGCACGCGCACACACTCACTCACTTACTCTCTCTCTCTCACACACACACACACATACACTTACGCTCTCACATACACGCACGCGCACACACTCACTCACTTACTCACTCACTCTCTCTCTTTCACACACACACATACACTTCACACACACACACACGCGCTCTCACACACGCACACACACACTCACTCACTCACTTTCTCTCTCTCTCTCACACACACACACACTTATGCTCTCACACACACTCACTCACTCACTTACTCTCTCTCCCACACACACACACACACACAAATTTAAAGGTCATTCATCACACACTTTGTCACATAATAATCCTAAATACATCGGTATGTTAGCACTTGTGTTTGTGTATGCCTGTGTGTCACGAGCTCAGTGTTCACAGCACGCCTGATGTTGATAACGTACGAGCGTTTGCTTTATCCAACATGATCCGTGACAGTTTATGCTCAAACCACATGACCTTTTAAACGTGACCCATATCTCACAGGTGATCCTCCTCGACTGGTTTACACGCAAAAAAACACTGAAAAAATTGAATTTTTTACATTTTTAAGTGAGTTTTGAATTTAATTTATTAATATATGCTAACGTTCGAAAACTTGGGTCGGTAAGATTGATTTAATTTTTCTGAAAGAGTCTCTTCTGCTCATCAATGCTGCATGTATTTGATAAAAAAATACAGTAAAAATGTTAAAATATTATAACTATTTAAAATAACAGTTGTCTATGTGAATATATAGTAAAGTGTCATTTATTCCTGTGATCAAAGCTGAATGTTCATCATCATTACTCCAGTCTTCAGAGTCACATGATCTTTCAGAAATCACTCTAATATGATGATCTGATGCTCAAGAAACATTTATGATTATTATCAGTGTTGAAGACAGGTCATATTTTAGTGGGAACCGTGACATTTAGTTTTCAGGTCTTTACTGTCATTCTACTGTTGGATTCATGATACATAGAAGATGATTTCCTCACACTGGAAATGAAAGGTCAAGTCAAACGCATTGCATTGTGGGATACAGCCCTTCAGGACTCAGGAGTAATGTCTGTCGTATGGCAGCGGTTCCCGAACGAGGAGGATTGGGAAACGAGCTCACATGAGCAGCATGCGAGTCAATAACCACTACAGGCCACATCTCTGACACGTGACTACAGAGAAATGGAAAATGATAAATTTGTCAAGTCATTTCAGGTCACACATATTCTAGATAAAGTATGTTTTGTTCAGTGTAGAGCTTGGCGTCTGTGAGAGAATATTGTTTGTGGTAGTTTGGTGGAAAAAAAAGGAAATGTTTTGTTTGTTTGAGTCATGCTCTGTCCGCTCGTTTCTCCTTTGGATACTGTTATACCCGTTCAACACCTGTCGTGATGTAGTTTCAGGCTCTACTAGAACAGGTTTTCCTGCTTGAATGTTGATTATTCTCCTCATATTCTCCATTGTTGCGGCTCCTCTCTTCCCAGTCTGTCAGTAACGCTCTGTTTACTTCCTGTCTCTGTGAAGCCCCTCCTTCTGAAAAGCACACTGTGCTCTGATTGGTCGGCTTGAGCAGTGTGTTGTGATTGGTCGAGCGCTTCGAGTAACCATAGACTGAATAAAACAATAGACATCGTGTGTGACGTCACCCGTAGTGTTTCTGAAGCCCAAAGTGGGCGGAGCCAGCCGTCGCCATCTTGGCAGCGTCACTCCCGGATAAACGTAAATGTGCAGCGAGGCGGATTAGCTGAGGTGACGTGACGCTAACACACAGCAGACAAACGGCTAGCAGTGACATCAGCGCCAATCCACCTGTCACTCAAGTGGCCACGCCCTTAATTATGCAGAACTTTAAGCCTTAATATAATTTGCACGGATGAGTTATACAATAATTCACTGCCCTCACAGTTGTCATGAAGGGCAAAATTAGCTATATAGACCATAAACACGTTTAACACCAGGCTGTAAACACATGTTTTTCTGCTGTAAAGTTGGGCATTTTAACATGCGGGTCTATGGGATTGAGTCTCTTCTGCAGCCGGCCTCTAGTGGCCAGTGGAGGAACTGCAGTTTAACTCACTCAGTGAGAGAGAGATGGAAGGTTGCCGCTTAGATTCAACACACTACTAACTAACTCAACCAGGCCCCGCCCCTTTATTCTGCGTATTAATTATTTAAATGAGGAATATTGTGACGTGTTCGTTCCCGGAAGAAACTCAAGACTACAATGGAGGCGTTTCAGGAGTTCAGAAACATGTTTTTCTGGTGTTTCGCTTAAAGTACTGAGAAAAATAGTAGTATACTTTAAATAAATGCATTTATGTTGAAATGATACATTTACATGTCAGTCCGTGTTTATTTTGGCCATTTGCGCGCTCACTTTAACACAGGCGCGGCGTTTTCTGACACACTCACTCACACACACACACACACACACATCACACACACACACACACACAATCACACAGAAACCTCACACACACAATCAAACAGAAACCTCACACACTCAAACACACACACACACAAACAAACACACGCACACACAATCACACAAAAACCTCACACACACACACACACACACACACACACACACACACACACACACACACACACACACACACACACACACACACACACGTCAACAACTCAGAATAGTGTTCATTGTTTCCTAAACACAGTTTATTGGTCCTTTATTATGACATTAGCAGCTTTATGCTGAGACTCAGAATTCTTCACACAGAATGTTAAAAAATAATTACTTGATATTATACTTGATAATTAATTATGACCTTTAATTTGGCCTTTTGATTGGATTTTGTTCTGACTCTCCAATACGTCTTTATTTTAATATTGTATGATTTACTTTTGCATTTAATTGATTTTATTTTTTGTTCTTTAAGTCCGTGTTCTGCTCACCAAGACTGCATGTGTTCAATCAAAAATACAGTAAAAACTGTCGAAATACAGTGTAAATCTGCTGTTTTCTATGTGAATATATAGTAAAGTGTCATTTATTCCTGTGATCAAAGCTGAAAATAATACGCCAGTTACGCATTTGTGACCCTGGACTACAAAACCAGTCACATGGGTAAATTTTTTGAAATTGAGATTTATACAAAGCTGATGTATAAGCTTTCCATTGATGAATGGTTTGTTAGGATATGACAATATTTGCTCGAGATAAAACTATTTGAAAATCTGGAATCTGAGGGTCAAAACATTGAGAAAACCGCCTTTAATGTCGCGATTTTGCTGCATTCACTCACAAAAAATAAATGTTTTTTATATTAACGGACGGTAGGACATTTTCAAAATATCTTCATGGAACATGATCTTTACTTAATATCCTAATGATTTTTGGCATAAAAGAGAAATCGATAATTCTGACCCATACAGTGTGTTGTTGGCTATTGCCCCAGATATAGAGACTGGTTTTGTGGTCCGGGGTCGTGTGTAAGGCCTGTGTGTGTGTAACTGTGGTGTGTTTTGTGCTGGTCTCAGGTGAAGCGCTACCAGTGCATGTTCGAGGGCTGCACGCGCACCTACAGCACGGCGGGGAACCTGCGCACGCACCAGAAGACACACCGCGGCGAGTACACGTTTGTGTGCAACCAGCAGGGCTGCGGGAAGGCCTTCCTCACGTCCTACAGCCTGAAGATACACGTGCGCGTGCACACCAAGGAGAAGCCCTTCGAGTGCGACGTGCAGGGCTGCGAGAAGGCCTTCAACACACTCTACAGGTGAGCGTGTTGTACATTAGCATGCTGGGCTAGCCTTGAGACCCTGTGGGCTTTACGCTCAGACAGCCACTGCATTGTGTGGATGAACTCACAGAAACTCATGTGACTTCTGGCCTGAGCCGCAGATCTGACACCATTTCACTTCCCGTTTGCTAAAGTATATGATATATATGTGACCCTGGACCACAAAACCAGTCACAAGGGTCAATTTTTTTAAATTGAGATTTAAACAGCATCTGAAAGCTGATTAAATAAGCTTTCCATTGATGTATATTTGTTATGATATTTGGTCGAGATCAAATTATTTGAAAAATAGAGGGTGCAAAAAAATGTAAACATTGAAAATAGCGCCTTTAAAATCGTCCATTTATGTTTGCGATTTTGCTGCATCCACTCACAATTTGTTTTTGTTTTTTTACCTTTATACAGCCAATTTTAAAACCTAATTATATGCATGTATCATCAATTTCATAAATGTAATAAAATTATATTATTAAAATAAGACATAATAGGGGTGTTACCAATCAAATGAAATCAGTATCAACACAAATTCATCTTTGCAATATTGAATGTGGATATTTAAACTTATTTAAAACAAGAATGTAAATGTGAAACTGAAACCGCCAGTAGGATATAGCGAGTCACTGTTAATGAGCGAATCATTGAGATTCAACAGATTCATTCAAGGAAAGAAGCATTCGACTCTTAGGGTGTTTCTCAAAACCAAGAATGCAAAGAACGGACTTGTGTTCTTGGGGAGAACGCTCTTGCTAGTTGTTCTTGGAAGAATGAACTCACAAGGTGACGAGCACACAGAACGCTGCTGACAGTTTGAGACGATGTGTTCTTGCTGGTATTGCGCAATAATTCCCCCGCACAGACACCGTCTGCAGTACCCAAACATAACGAGAATTATTGACGATAACAGCCAGGCTGCAATGGTCTCTTGACTGTGGGGAAAAACGAGTCTGTGAGCAAACTGGCCGGTTGGCTCGATAGCTAACGTTACACCCGCAGGCGCTTATGGAGATTCTCACTTCCGAAAACGTTTGAGCACATTTTCGATTAGCCATACATTTTCGTAAAATGCCAATATTTGAAATCTACACAGTTGATTTCTCGCATCAAATGTTCTCAGAAGTGAATTTAGTGATGAAATAGTGTACGTAATTGTAGAAAAACGAAATACTGTATTGACCTGCCTCTCCTTCCTCGAATGCCGAATTGAATGCTGGGATATTTCTGCCGTCAAGTTCACACAAGTTACCAGCCGATGCATCCTCGGTAAAATGGGCGTGTCAAGAACACATCCGGGATTTTTAACTGTTCTTGCCAAAATGCAAACTTGTGTATTGGGACAGTACTTGGGCCACAAAAGATGATGTTTCACAAGAACACAAGGACGCAAGTACAGACAAGAACACAGATTGAGAAAGGCCCTTAATCTGTCCTCGTCAACTGATTCGCTCAAACAGCTGATTCGCTCAAACAGCTGATTCACTCAAACAGCTGATTCACTCAAACAGCTGATTCGCTCAAACAGCTGATTCGCTCAAACAGCTGATTCGCTCAAACAGCTGATTCACTCAAACAGCTGATTCGCTCAAACAGCTGATTCGCTCAAACAGCTGATTCACTCAAACAGCTGATTCACTCAAACAGCTGATTCACTCAAACAGCTGATTCACTCAAACAGCTGATTCACTCAAACAGCTGATTCGCTCAAACAGCTGATTCGCTCAAACAGCTGATTCACTCAAACAGCTGATTCACTCAAACAGCTGATTCACTCAAACAGCTGATTCGCTCAAACAGCTGATTCGCTCAAACAGCTGATTCACTCAAACAGCTGATTCACTCAAACAGCTGATTCGCTCAAACAGCTGATTCGCTCAAACAGCTGATTCACTCAAACAACTGATTCCCTCAAACGGCTGATTCACTCAAACAGCTGATTCACTCAAACAGCTGATTCACTCAAACAGCTGATTCACTCAAACAGCTGATTCACTCAAACAACTGATTCGCTCAAACAGCTGATTCACTCAAACAACTGATTCACTCAAACAACTGATTCGCTCAAACAACTGATTCGCTCAAACAGCTGATTCACTCAAACAGCTGATTCACTCAAACAACTGATTCGCTCAAACAGCTGATTCGCTCAAACAGCTGATTCACTCAAACAGATGATTCGCTCAAACAGCTGATTCGCTCAAACAGCTGATTCGCTCAAACAGCTGATTCGCTCAAACAGCTGATTCACTCAAACAACTGATTCACTCAAACAGCTGATTCGCTCAAACAGCTGATTCGCTCAAACAGCTGATTCGCTCAAACAGCTGATTCGCTCAAACAGCTGATTCGCTCAAACAGCTGATTCGCTCAAACAGCTGATTCGCTCAAACAGCTGATTCACTCAAACAACTGATTCCCTCAAACGGCTGATTCACTCAAACAGCTGATTCGCTCAAACAGCTGATTCACTCAAACAGCTGATTCACTCAAACAGCTGATTCGCTCAAACAGCTGATTCGCTCAAACAGCTGATTCACTCAAACAGCTGATTCGCTCAAACAGCTGATTCGCTCAAACAGCTGATTCGCTCAAACAGCTGATTCGCTCAAACAGCTGATTCGCTCAAACAGCTGATTCGCTCAAACAGCTGATTCACTCAAACAGCTGATTCACTCAAACAGCTGATTCACTCAAACAGCTGATTCACTCAAACAGCTGATTCACTCAAACAGCTGATTCGCTCAAACAGCTGATTCGCTCAAACAGCTGATTCGCTCAAACAGCTGATTCGCTCAAACAGCTGATTCGCTCAAACAGCTGATTCGCTCAAACAGCTGATTCGCTCAAACAGCTGATTCGCTCAAACAGCTGATTCGCTCAAACAGCTGATTCACTCAAACAGCTGATTCACTCAAACAGCTGATTCGCTCAAACAGTGAATTTTTTTTTATGTTGTTTATACAGTCAGAACAAAATGTATTCAGACACCTTCAACATTTCTCCCATTATCTCAGTTTATTCGCTATAGTTCAGGAAATGGTGATAAATATGAGCAGAACTCAGAGCTCTCAGATCAGTTGATATTTGACTGGTTTTGTCCGTCCTTCTGTTAGACTCTCACACATGAATTATGTTGAATATCTGTCAGCTGTTAAATTTAACTACACAATTAGATAATACCAGTTTAGCTCAACCAGTGACCAAGCAATGCTTCATGTTGTTCAGTCTGTGTGTAAAAAGAGCATTAGCAATTACAGAAAACACACTGAAGAAAAAAACATGATCAGCTCAAAGTGATTAATATTTGGTCCCAAATTTTTTATAAATGTCACTGGTAGTCTCTGTATAAAGAGTTATTGGGTATAATATGTCACAGTTTACTTTATTTTGCTCTCCTCACTTACATAAATGAACTATAGTGTCCTGCACACACTAGTGAAACATATCAAAAATTATATCTGGTGTCTGAATCATTTTTGGTTTAACTGTGTGTCTATGTGGTGTTATTAATATGCTGTAAGACACACCATGTGTAAGTTCATAAGTCGACAGCATTGCTGAGTATTTTCTGCTTAAAACTGCAGTGAACCAAAGACAGTCTCAAAAACACGGTTTGAAATCGCTGGTGTTTCTGACGTCACAAACGACCTTGTAACCAATCAGATCAACGTGTGATCGTCAACCAGTGGATCTCTGAGCTGAGTGAGTGAGTGGAGGCGGGGCTCATTTGCATATTCATAGAACCGCGCATACTAAATGAGGCGAGGGTGTCGAGTTACATTCAAGATATCGATCATGAAGCATTTTTTTGCAAGGAAAACACAATTAAATGTCATTGTGGTGATCAGAGATGAGTTTTGAGGGATAAATGATCGACTTCAGGGGGACTTTAAGGACAGAAATGCTGCAGCTATTGCGAGTAGTATGAAGCTGCAGACTCGGAGACCTGCATCTACAGTCCCCCTGCACCCAGAGTCCCGCATTCTCAGACCCCTCGTTTTTCGAGACAGCGCCTCCTATCAAATTGTATCGGATAAACATGTGAAGAACATGTGAAGAACTTAAGCCAAAACCTGAGTAGGCTATCTTCAATTTTATTTAGCGAATCGTAGTAGCCTACTCGTTTGATTTATTTTTTAATAAAACTAATTTAGCTCATCGATACAACATATGAATAGTCCATTTAATATTTGTAAAGATAGTTTGTAACAAGATTTGAGCCGTTAATGTATGTTTTTTATAAAATATTATATAATATAATATTTTATAAAATATTTTATAAAATATTTTGATAGCTAACGTTAGACTTTAACCTTGGACTTTTTGTAGATATGTCATAAATGCTGCAGTGATTTTCACTGCCCATTTTGTGCCCCCATATATTTCAAACCCACAAAGTTGTCCAAAGTTCAAAAACATCTCAAGGGACACTTCAACAGAGCAGTGCAACATGAAGGTAACATTTGCAAACATCTTTTTTCTTTTTTTTCTTTCTTTTTGAAACATCATAAGACATGTGCTATCGGGCCTATACTGTTGTAGGCTATTCCAAGGGTACACCATACATCGATGGAGTCGCCCCTGCCGAACCCAGCAGCATATCATTTTATGATTATGCAAAGCGACTTATAAATTAGTTTTTTTTTAATGCAATTGAAGACGAAAAGTAAAGTCACGAACACAGTTTTTTCTTCCTTTTTTCTTTACAGCAAGATGATGTTTAGGTGATCATTAAATAAAGTACAGAATTGGTTATTATTGGTGTTTTGTCTATTCTGATTTGTTTTGCTTCGCATTCAAAATATCAAAAAACAGATTTTGTAATGTTAGCATGGTAATGTTAATTAGACCATTATAGGTTGAACTGAAAGAAAAATTGGAATTTGAATAAAAAAAATATTAAAAAAACATTGTAGCAATATAATATCACATACTATTTTTCAGAAGATAGTTCAATCTGTAATTGTATCCCTTCCATCGCAATGAGTTTTTTTTTTGGCACATGCATTAAGCAGGGAACGCAAATATTTATTGGATCATTTATTTGGAGACCGTAATATTGCATCCTGTTGTTTTTAATTGCATTTGGATAAGCGTGCGCTGTACTCTGTGTGCGGGTGTTATACGATCTTTCGAACAGCAGGAGGCGCTGTGTCCGAAAAACGAGGGGTCTGAGAATGCGGGACTCTCGGTGGGGGACTGTAGATGCAGGCTCCGAGTCTGCAGCTTCATAATATTGACTAATGCTGTAAACTGTACCGTGAACCCTGTCCGTCGGCACAAGTTCAAAGTATTAAATTCAATTGCTATTTATATTTAGATATAATAATCAACACTCCTAAACTCATTACAGCAACACTCGTTAGTTACATCTGGCAATGTAAGTTTCATATTCAATGATATAATAATGTTTCTACTACAATTCATTGTTGAAATGTAATTTAAACGGTGGCTCTCATATCTTGTTTTCATAACAGATTTATTCAAACAATACAATAAATCAGACATCACTAACAGGTTAAGCAAAATATAGTGAATATGTAATATAGTGCATATATTTAGCAAAATGCTCACGCCGCGACAGCGATCCGTCGCCACACATTCAAGAGCACAGAAACTTTTTTCATTTGAATTTCGTAATGAAATTGACCGAATTTGAAAGATAAGACTTTGTTTCATTTCAAAAGTATCAAAGCACAAAGATATGGAAGTAAAATAATGCCAAATGTTTCTGAAAAAAAAAAAAAGCCTGCTAAATTGCACTACAGGTAATATTATAAGTTGTATTTTTAAACAGTTTGAATATTTTTAAAGGGGAATATGGATTATTGAATTTTTAATAATGAAAATGTGTTTTAAATGTTTTGAATTGAAATTTTCACAGCTTAAATATTCAACCATGCAAGCCCTAAAAATACAATGCATTAAAATGCAAGCATGGTTAATGCAATGCATATTTTGCAATTTAACAGGCTTTTTTGTTTCAGAAACATTTGGCATTATTTTACTTCCATACAAAGGTTATTGTGATGATTGGATGGCGGGAGCTCCGGATCATGTTTAGAGACACACATCAACATAAAGGCTCCTGCTGATCAGCGTATGGTTATTGTGTTTGTCTCTCATCAGACTGAAAGCACACCAGCGTCTGCACACGGGGAAGACGTTCAACTGTGAATCCGAGGGATGCACCAAGTACTTCACCACGCTGAGTGACCTGAGGAAACACATCCGCACACACACGGGGGAAAAACCCTTCAGGTCACGGTTCATTCACACACCACCTTTAGTTCAGGAGTGCTTTACAACATTAGCATGCACAAGCATGTTGACTGATCCACGGTCATATTCACTGGCACTGAGAGTCGAGCTGGAACACTAAATATCGCTGGGTATCGTTCAAAAATGTTCGATATCAATGCCGGTTCCCGAACGATACTTTTTCCGATACCAATATGAACAGATAAAGTTATAGCAGAGGCTGTAACATTAATGTGAAGAGGAGGAAAAAACAAGAAATCGGAACCGTTAATGCATTAATGTTCCTGGTGTTCATCCTTCTGCATGGTTAAATAAAATGTTATTGTTCAAAAGCATGTGTAATCAATTGAAATCATGAAACTCGTGTAATTTAACAGCAATTTATTAACAGTTTAACAAAAATGTTTTATTTTCTCTATATTCCGTTTTAATGGTTTAATATCAAAAACATATCTAATTAATTGAATTCATAAAAACAACTGAATTTATATCAAATTTGTATACAATTAATAGGGCATATGAAATGTTGTAGTTGTTGTTGTGTATTTTAATTGTTCTGGTAATCAAATGAAGGCATATTGGAGGCATACATTGAAGGCAAGAAAATTTGTTTTAATAATAATTGTATTATTATTAGTAGTAGTATTTACTGTACATTACACATTAAACTTGTATTGTGACGGGTTGCCGTATAGAGCTTCTTCCGTGATGAGATCATAGTTTCCTTCAAATGAAAAATTTTGTCAAAGTGAGAATATTAAACTGCAAAAGGACTATTTAAATATGAATCCTGCATGTTAATGAGCGGCTCTGTTGCCATCAAGCCGACGTAAACTAGCGTTAGTCCTTGATCACCAGCACTTGATTTGTGCGCATCATAAGCTGCATGCTTATTGGCTCACTGACGTTGACTAGATCGAAGTTTGGTACCGAACGACAAGACGTGTTTTGACACTCGATGGTGTCGTGGCAGTTCGGTCGGTGCCTGAACCGTATTGAGCTCGATACCCAGCCCTGGTGCTAAATCAGGGACGCGGTGTGTGTGTGCATATTAGCAAAGATTGATGCACTATTATAGGCTACTATTGTGTTTGTGTGTGCAGGTGTGACCATGATGGCTGTGGTAAGGCTTTCGCTGCTAGTCATCACCTGAAAACACATGTGCGGACACACACTGGTAAGACACTGTCAGTCTGTCGGCTCAAAACAGGCAAAATCAAAGCAACACAGAAAATAAAAAATACGCACATTTCTAAGACATTTTCTATTTGCTGTGAAATCTTTACTGATTTTTATAAAGTCAACGTAAGAATAACTTTGATATTAGCAATATTTCAATTTAAACGCCACTTTTTCAAATTCAAATTCAAATTCACCTCAATCAGTACTTATGTAATTGATTCTGGCTTTTTTTGCAACAAACAATTGTTGTGCTGAAATGTCAATTTTATTTAGATTAGAGAATATCCATTTCTTCTTGGGATGCACGATATACAGTGAGGAACATAAGTATTTGAACACCCTGCTATTTTGCAAGTTCTCAGGGGAAAAACAAGTGGTTTTATTTGTTTTAAAGCTTACACTTGAGTAAGCAAACTGTACTTTTTATGTAATTTATGTAGTAATAAATGGAACCTTATTGTAAAGTGTTACCGATTAGTTATACACCGATTAAACGTCCCGTGAGTTCAGTGTTGGAAAGATCAGTTGTTTTAACCATTCATTAAAACGAATCGGTTCAAATGAGTCATTAGTTCGCGAATTAGACGTGTCATTATCGGACGTGTGCTCGTTGTGTGATTATCCCGGCGGTTGAGACATCCCACAAGATGTGTGTCATCACAGAAAACATTTCATCACTGGATCGTTTTTTTTCGTTTATTTAAAGTGTGGTTTATGTCAGCTGAATGTGCGGAACGCTTTTCAGAGAAGATAAGGCAACGTATTTTAGCACAATTCACACACAGCGGTGTGTTTCATGCTCCACATGAAACTTTAGTCTCCCGACCTTACCATCGTGTCGTTTATTCTGATTAATATGTGCGAGGGAGAGAGAGCAAGACAGGACTTAGGAGACGGTGAAGCCTACTTTCGCCTTGCTCCGAAGAGAGAGAGTGCGCACGCGAATGGGGCTCTCTCTCTCTCTCTCTCTCTCTCTCTCTCTCTCTCTCTCTCTCTCTCTCTCTCTCTCTCTCTCTCTCTCTCTCTCTCTCTCTCTCTCTCTCTCTCTCTCTCTCTCTCTCTCTCTCTCTCTCTCTCTCTCTCTCTCTCTCTCTCTCTCTGCTCGTTCAGTTTAACATGCGCCCTGTCACAAGCACAGCGGTTCATCTACATTACCAGAGAGAGACAATTTTACTCTCCGATCAAATAAGACTTTGGCGGTACAAAAATTAGCTTTGGACGCCTTGCTATGGTGCTTGATAAAGGACAAAAGGGACAGTTGTGAGTTCACGGTCTGTAGCCTACATACTATGGCTGACTCAGAGCAGGAGCATCGATTAGAGGACTCGTTAACGTCGAGGGCAGACAATATCGATGGATCGTAAAACTTAGAACCGGTTCTCGAGTGGAACCGGTTTTCAATTCCCATGCCTAATAAAGACACCTGTCCACCCCATACAATCAGTAAGAATCCAACTACTAACATGGCCAAGACCAAAGAGCCGTCCAAAGACACTAGAGACAAAATTGTACACCTCCACAAGGCTGGAGAGGGCTACGGGGAAATTGCCAAGCAGCTTGGTGATTAAAGGTCCACTGTTGGAGCAATCATTAGAAAATGGAAGAAGCTAAACATGACTGTCAATCTCCCTCGGACTGGGGCTCCATGCAAGATCTCACCTCGTGGGGTCTCAATGATCCTAAGAAAGGTGAGAAATCAGCCCAGAACTACACGGGAGGAGCTGGTCAATGACCTGAAAAGAGCTGGGACCACCGTTTCCAAGGTTACTGGTGGTAATACACTAAGACGTCATGGTTTGAACTCATGCATGAGTTCCCCTGCTTAAACCAGCACATGTCAAGGCCCGTCTTAAGTTTGCCAATGACCATTTGGATGATCCAGAGGAGTCATGGGAGAAAGTCATGTGGTCAGATGAGACCAAAATAGAACTTTTTGGTCATAATTCCACTCGCCGTGTTTGGAGGAGGAAGAATGATGAGTACCATCCCAAGAACACCATCCCTACTGTGAGGCATGGGGTGGCAGCATCATGCTTTGGGGGTGTTTTTCTGCACATGGGACAGGGCGACTGCACTGTATTAAGGAGAGGATGACTGGGGCCATGTATTGCGAGATTTTGGGGAACAACCTCCTTCCCTCAGTTAGAGCATTGAAGATGGGTCGAGGCTCGGTCTTCCAACATGACAACGACCCGAAGCACACAGCCAGGATAACCAAGGAGTGGCTCTGTAAGAAGCATCTCAAGGTTCTGGCGTGGCCTAGCCAGTCTCAAGACCTAAACCCAATAGAGAATCTTTGGAGGGAGCTCAAACTCAGTGTTTCTCAGCGACAGCCCAGAAACCTGACTGATCTAGAGAAGATCTGTGTGGAGGAGTGGGCCAGAATCCCTCCTGCCGTGTGTGCAAACCTGGTGAACAACTACAGGAAACGTTTGACCTCTGTAATGGCAAACAAAGGCTACTGTACCAAATATTAACATTGATTTTCTCAGGTGTTCAAATACTTATTTGCAGCTGTATCATACAAATGAATAGTTAAAAAATGATTTCTCCATGATTTCCCCTCCATGATTTCTAAGTGGGAGAACTTGCAAAATAGCAGGGTGTTCAAATACTTATGTTCCTCACTGTATCGGCCACCATATCGGTATCGGCCGATAATATGTTCGTTTTAATGTTAGCATTATCAGCCTGAAAATTTAGCCGATATATTAAAGCCGATAAATAATGGATTATTCCTTCAGCTGAGACGCTTCAGATGCGCACTGTTCAACATGATGGCTTTGAATTTCTTGAATTACGATCAGAAAAACTTGAAAAAAGGAAAATACAGTAAAGTGTGTGTCATATCGGCTACATAAAACTATAATGAGAACATTATAATTGTGTGTTTGGGACATTGAACACAAAAAAAAATTGGATTTAGATCTATCGGCCAATATATCGGTTATCGGCTTTCAAATATGAAGAATTATCGGTTATCGGTATCGACCAAAATGTCCATATCATTGCATCCCTAATTTCTTCCTCTACCGTCTCTTTCCCTGTTCCAGGAGAGAAGCCGTTTTTCTGTCCGACCGATCGCCAAAATATGGTCATTTTTAATGTTATCGTTATCGGCCTGATAAGAAAATTTGGCCGATATATTAAAGCCGATAAATAATGGATTATTCCTTCAGCTGAGACACTTCAGATGCGCACTGTTCAACATGATGGCTTTGAATTTCTTGAATTACGATCAGAAAAACTTGAAAAAAGGAAAATCCAGTAAAGTGCGTGTCATATCGGCTACATAAAATTATAATGAGAACATTATAATTGTGTGTTCGGGACATTGCACACAAAAAAAATTGGATTTAGATTTATCGGCCAATATATCGGTTATCGGCTTTCAAATATGAAGAATTATCGGTTATCGGTATCGACCAAAATGTCCATATCATTGCATCCCTAATTTCTTCCTCTACCGTCTCTTTCCCTGTTCCAGGAGAGAAGCCGTTTTTCTGTCCGACCGATCGCCAAAATATGGTCATTTTTAATGTTATCGTTATCGGCCTGATAAGAAAATTTGGCCGATATATTAAAGCCGATAAATAATGGATTATTCCTTCAGGTTAGACGGTTCAGATGCGCACTGTTCAACACGATGGCTTTGAATTTCTTGAATTATGATGAGAAAAAATTGAAAAAAGGAAAATACAGTAAAGTGCGTGTCATATCGGCTACATAAAATTATAATGAGAACATTATAATTGTGTTTGGGACATTGAACACAAAAAAAATTTGGATTTAGATTTATCGGCCAATATATCGGTTATCGGCTTTCAAATATAAAGAATTATCGGTTATCGGCCAAAATTTTCATGTCATTGCATCGCTAATTTCTTCTGGTACTCTCTCTTTCCCTGTTCCAGGAGAGAAGCCGTTCTTCTGTCCGAGCGACGGGTGTGAGAAGACCTTCAGCTCTCAGTACAGCCTGAAGAGCCACATCCGGGGTCACGACAAAGGCCCGGCGTTCACCGTGAGCGCTCATCCGCTGTCAGAGGTGCTCATTCACACACTCACTGCCCTTTATTACACCAACACTGTGTGACCGTGGACTTAATTGGTCCTGTTGTACTTGTTCAACCGCAGGATGCGAATCACTCGCTGTGCCTCAGTGATTTGAGCCTCATTTCCACTGACTCTGAGCTCCAGGAGAACCACAATGTGAGTTTGCGCCCTCATTTTTTACACAGAGCTTTTTTTTTCAGTCGTCTCCCAGATACATAGAGTGCATCTCAGCACATGTTCATGTCTCAGTCTCAGGGTTTGGATCTGAACAGCGTCACCCCCATACGAATCTTTGAGCTGATGTTCCAGAGTCCTGAGAACAGTGTCAGCCAGGACGACCCCAAAACCACAGGCAAGATCTTTTAGAGCTCACTGTGTTCAAAGACACTCGAGTCACTTCTGTTATGCAGTACGCTTTGAACTTTTAAAAATGAATAAGCATGTGCTAAAGAGGACCTTTTGCAAAGTGTTGATGTTGTTTTTGGGCTCTACTTAGAACAGGTTTTCATTATTTTCCTCATATTCTCCATTGTTGCGGCTCCTCTCTTCCCAGTCTGTCAGTAACGCTCTGTTTACTTCCTGTCTCTATGAAGCCCCTCCTTCTGAAAAGCACACTGTGCTCTGATTGGTCGGCTGGAGCAGTGTGTTGTGATTGGTCGAGCGCTTCGAGTGTGTTTGGGAAACGTCCCGCACCTTACCATAACCGCCAGTTTAACACACTACTAACTAACTCAACCAGGCCCCGCCCCTTTATTAAGCATGTGCCTTGGGCGGTAATTATTCATTTTTATTATTTTTGTGTATGCCAGACCTTCAGAGACTTGCTTGGACAAAAACAGTTCGAAACATATTCGCAATGTGTTAAAACATGGCAGAAAACAGTTAGCAAAATGTTATCAATGTTTTAAACATGCTAGAAACCCGTTAACAAAGTTATATCAATATGTTGAAAACATGATAGCAATGTGTTACAAAATGCTGCCAATGTGCTTGGTTGTTAACAATAGTTGTGTCCCAAATAGGCATGTGCCGGTATCAAATTTTCATGCTGCGATTAATTGATTGAGCTTTAATCACGGTATACTGTATTATCACGATATTTTAATTGCTCGAGAGAAACAGATGGATTGTGGGTCTCTAAAAAAACAACAACTTGCATCACAATGTGTAATTGTGATTTTCAAAACATATGGTAACTAAACAGAATTTTATTAAGTTTAGTGACAACATGTTACAATTTTCATATTCATTACCGCGATTTATCGCATTACCGAATACCGGCACATGTCTAGTCCCAAATTACGCTCTATACGCTGTGCACTTGTACTATGTACTCTACCGTGTAGTTATGAATATTATAAGGTTTTGTCGTCATTCAGTATTGGAGTCTGCGACAGTCGAGTGAATGAAGTGTCCATCGTTCTTCATTTTATCGTTAATTAAGTGAATCATTTAGGTATTTACATTACAGTGCACATAACATTCTAGACATGTTGTAGTAAAGTTGAAGGTTCAATATAATGGGGATGGAAGAAGACAAGGGGTCGGTGTGACTGGGTCTCGTGTACTTTATTATAACATAAAAATAACAATTGCGCACGAGCGCCTTCACCACAGATAAACTATATATAAACTATAGCACATTCAATAAAGTACGTCTTTCTCCACAGAGACTCAGTCCATTCGCACACGAGATCCCAGTCCTTCTCTCTCACTCGTTCTCTCGCACCAGCCGGTCTCCCCACGCCAATCACTGCAATCAGAAACAGGTGATCGTCATTTTGCACTTGACCTACTTACTTACCGCCTCAGCTCCACCCCCGCTCTCCCGCTACAGACCTCGCTAAACCACGCCCCCCTTTCTACACATGTGTTAAAACATGCTTGGAACGTGATTAAAATATGTGCTGTCAAAATTAACGCTTTATTTTGCAATGAATTTTTTTTCATTTTAACGCGTTACAAATATTTGACGCAATTAACGCAGTAAAATTAACGCTTGCGTTTTTTTCCTGGCAACCTTTGGCTAGCGTTACATAACATGATGTGTGATTGTTTTTTTTTATTATTATTATTATAATTTAATTGACAGCAGCACTAGTTAAAACATGTAAGTAATGTGTTAAGTCCTAGTAGCAACATGCTAAAACATAATATAAATGTGTTAAAACATGATAGCACTGTCAGTGTGTTAAAACATACTAGGAACATGCTAGAAATGGGTTAAAACATGTCAATGTCTTAAAACATTTTAGCAACATGCTAAGAAATGTTAAAAACATGGTAACCAACCACATCTTAAAACTAGCTGAAGTCATTCTGGCAACAAGCGAAAACATGTTATCAATGTGTTAAAACATGCTATCTACGTGTTAAAAAATGTTAGAAATGTGTTAAACCTGTTAAAACGTTCTAATGATTTGTTAAAACATGTTCGTAACATGGCAAAACATGATAGGAACGTGGTAGCAATATGGTGGAATGTTAACAATAAGTGAAATCATGCTAGCAATTGTTAAAACATGGTAAACACATGTTAAAACATGCTACCCATGTGCAAAAGCATATTAGAAACATGGTATCAACGTGTTTTACATTGATATCGTTACCGTGTCGAACCATGCTAGCAATATCAATGTGTTAAAACATAGTAAACATGTAAGCAATGTGCTAAAAGAATTTTAATGAATTAAAAGAATTGGAAACATTTTAACATTGTTAAAACATGCTAGCACTGTGTGCGTGTTGAAACATGTTAACATGTTAAGAACATGTTAGCAACATGGTAAAACATGATAGGATCTTAGTAGCAATATGATGAAACGTTAGCAATTGTTATTACTTGCTAGCAATTGTTATTACTTTTTAGCTAGGTGCTAAAAAATGGTATCCACAAAAACATATTAGAAACATGGTATCAACATGTTGAAACATGCCAGCGATATCGATGTGTTAAAACATATTAAACACGTTAGCAATGTGCTAAAACTTGTTAGAAACATTTTAAAACGTGTTAGCACTGTCAGTGTGTTAAAACATGCTAGAAACATGTTAGCACTGTGTTAAAACATGTTAGCAACATGCTAAGAAATGTTAGAAACATGTTAGAACATGGTAACCAAGTGTTACATGTTATCGATGGCAAAAACATTAGAAACCTGGTATCAACATGTTGAAACATGCTAGCAATATCAATGTGTTATATTAAACATGTTAGCAACATGCTAAAACATGTTAGAAACATTTTAGCAGCATTTTAAAACGTAATAGCACTGTCAGTGTGTTAAAACATACTAAGAACATGCTAAGAAATGTTAGAAACATGTTAAAATATGGTAAACGTGTTCAAAATCATTCTGGCAACAAGCAAAATGCTACTCATGTGCAAAAACATTAGAAACATGGTATCAACATTCTAGCCATATCAATGTGTTGAAACATATTAAAAATGTATATTAACGAAGGGAACATGTGACGTGCTGCATAGTAGGAATGACCGATCATCCCATGTGCCGTCCCTCAGTCTGACGTGTGTCCCGCCTCTGTGTCTCCAGATCAGCCCGGCGAGGTGTTCGGCCTGGACCCGTGTCCTCCGTCAGCCTCAGACGGGTTCCCTCCGCCCTCTTCATCCCCCATCACATCACCTGAGGCTCAGACTCCGCCCACCTCACAGCCGGCTCCGCCTCCTGCCGCCGGCAGCTCGTCACTGACTCCGCCCACCTCATCTCTCTCGCCAGAAGTGCCCATCGCTCCATCGGCTCCACCCGCTCCACCGGCTCCCTCAGTCGCGCCGCTCTTCGTGGCTCAGCCGGGGTCGACCGCGACTAGCGCCTCCGTGACCGCGGAGGTGACACACACAGTGCCTTTGGCTCCTCCTCTTCCTCCTCCTCCTCCTCCTCCTACGATCACCATCGCCCCCACCCTCGGCCTGCAGCCCAGTATCGTCATGTCCGATCAGAACCTGCAGTGGATCCTCAGCAGTGCCGCCAGTGCGCAGCAGAACCCAGAACAACAGGTCCGGCGGTTTAACTCAATTCTACTTTAGCTTTATGTTTTTTATCTGTGGTTTCGTTGTCATTTACAAGCAGGATTTTAATCAGTCAACTTTAATGTCATAAGGAAAGCTGCAACAGTTGAAAGTGCATGAAGTGTCCAAAACATGTTAGGGACCAAGCGGCAACCTTCCGGTCTCTCTCTTGAATTCAACACTGAAGTGAGTTAAACTGCAGTTCCTCCACTGGCCACTAGAGGCAGGCTGCAGAAGAGACTCAATCCCATAGACCCGCATGTTAAAATGCCCAACTTTACAGCAGAAAAACATCTGTTTACAGCCTGGTCCAAAAAGTGGTTTTGGTCTATATAGCTAATTTTGCCCTTCATGACAACTGTGAGGGCAGTGAATTATTGTATAACTCATCCGTGTAAATTATATTAAGGCTATATTATATTATATTATATTATATTAAAGTTCTGCATAATTAAGGGCGTGGCCACTTGAGTGACAGGTGGATTGCTGTTGATGGCACTACTAGCCGTTTGTCTGCTGTGTGTTAGCGTCACGTCACCTCAGCTAATCCGCCTCGCTGCACATTTACGTTTATCCGGGAGTGACGTTGCCAAGATGGCGACGGCTGGCTCCGCCCACTTTGGGCTTCAAAAATGCTCTTCAGAAACACTACGGGTGACGACACGCACACTATGCCCATTTTTTTATACAGTCTATGGCTTAAACATACTAGCAATGTGTTCCCGGTAGCAACGTTAAAACATGCTTGCAATTAAGATGGAATTAAAAGAGCCGAATTATTCTATTTTTGTTTTCATTAATGATGCTAATCTTGCCAGAAATGTGTCTGATTATATTTCCGATATTTTTAGCTTTTCTTACATGTTTTTGTGATCTTAGTAATTGTCCAAGTTAGTGTTTGAATTAATGTCACAAATTTATTCTTCTCATTTTTTTTTGGTTAACATTACTACTGTTTTTATTTTCAGGGTCCAAAAGTAGAGAAAGTCTTTTTTACAACGGCCATACCAGTCGGTGGACATTCAGGTATGATTGAATATTTTGTTAAATATTTGTATTTTCTGCTTAATATTCCCAACCTGGCAACCATGTGCACACGCTCTCTCTTTCCATTCATTAACACATTAGGATAACGAGCCAGTCTGGCGGATATAATCTGACTGGCAAGCTGGTTATATTTGAATATCATCAGTAGTGTGGTGATAAAAACATTTACGACGGTTAATCTATCCAAGAGGCAAAATGTAGATAGTGAATAATAACGGACCGAGAACTGAACCCTGGGGAACACCCTGTTTGAGTGATACTGTGGGGGGATTTGTAATTGTCATTGAGATGTAGTACTGCCTATCCTTGAGATATGAAGAGAACCAGGATAATGCCACACCTGAGATGCCAATCTCTGAAAGGTCAAAAGCTGAGCTGAGGTCAAGTAATAAGAGATTGGAGAGATTTCCCATATCACCAGAGGAGTAAAAGGTCATTGACAACCTTTACTAGAGCAGTTTTAGCCGAAACTAGGGCTGTGCGATTAATCATAATTGATTTTCAATTTCGATTTTGACTTCCAATGATTATGAAAACAAGATAATCAAGGTAAAATGGTTATTGTTCCTTTCCTTCACAGCGGTGTGCTTTTCGTTCCTCCTTAAAAGCCCCAAACTTAAAGGTGCTGTATGTAAGTTTTTTTACTGTACTAAAGCATAAAAACACCATAATATGTTTGCAGATATTTAGGAAACATGCTGAGTCTCTAAAAAATACTTCTACAGCCAGTTATTTTACTTTGAAATGTCCGTTCCGTGTTGCAATGTCTGTTTTTGTTTTGGTCTGTGATATCACACACTGCCAATTTACCCAGTAGTGTTTCACCACCACAGGTTGCCAGTTGGCAGGAAACACAGCATATGGAAGCCAGCGAACAAACTGGGTCAGAGGTCGCAGATTCTAGACGACCTAAAAAGCCTCGGTATCCACCTAAAAATCTCTATAAACGAAAGCATATTAAAACGCGATATCATAAATCAGTAAATCAACTCATCAGCTTACAGTGTGTAAGTCTCCTCGCATTCCATTGTCAATTGCGCTCGTTCCTTTTGCGCCAATCTGGCAACCCGTGTGAGCGTCGAGTCTGAGGAGGCGGGGAAACAACTCTCTCTGATATTTTTAATTTGGACTGCAGTACCCATTTCAACCACTAGTTGTCAATCTCGCATACTGCACCTTTAACATGCAAATCACCCTAATAAGTGAGTGTTGTAAAATGCAGTCTGCTGATGCTAAACTGCGGGACGTGTTTGATTTTAAACAGTGTTATTAAAAGCGCATTAAGGCGCAAACGGGACGCTGTTCCCCTGGCGGCTTTCTGTGTGCGCGCTCCAAGTCGGAGCCGAACCGGATACGCAAAAGGTCTTCGGATACACTGCTAAACGCGTACACACACAAAATAGCAGAGTATTCATGTAAACACAGGGGGTTTTGTCTTAAGTAAACGTACACAGTTGAGAAAGAAGACGCGTGTAACAGTATATTAGATCCGTGCAGCTCTTAAAGTGACAGCAGCCTAATATATGCTGCAGTCTGTCATGAATGATAATCAAACAACAAATGACAAAATAATTTTTTAATAATGATTAATCTATATTTAATGTGTACAGTAAGACTATGCGGCGTTATTGTGCATTTGATTGATTATAAAAAATTATTATTTATCTGAATATCTCTACTAGTGCATCTTCATGAAAAACTTAAAACACGGTTTAATGTGTATTTTCGCTCTGTTGTGTTTATTTGTCCATTTCACGTTTTTCCGCACCCTTTTGATTGACAGGATATAATCGGCCCTGATCATCGGCTGTTTTTAATCTGCCAATGGCCGATAGTGAAAATAATAGCTTTAATACCGATTATTGGCCAATACATCGATAAATCTCTAAAAATAACCAAGGTCAGCCCGATAACAGAATGTAATACGGATTGTCACAGCTGGTTGTGTTTGTATTTCTGAATTTTTGATGAGTGAGATTGGCCTTTGTTGTTATTGCTGGAGTCTCTGAAGCTCGTGTAAAGGCTCCGCCCTCTTCTGAATGGAGGCGGGGCATCAGCTCATTTGCATTTAAAGGGACACACACAAAAATAGCGCGTTTAATATAAATATTACTAATAATCAGAGTTTCCGCTAGAAAAAAATGGTGCCGGTCAAAGTGACCGGCAGAGGTTTCGTTTAACGGACATTTTGATGATATGCCGGTCAAATATCGCCTCTTAATTAGTCAAGTTGAGGAAAACTGGAGGCAGGCTATGTAACTTAAAAAATGACAAAATCAGGCCGTATAGAATGCAACATGTTATTATTAGCCTAACTTTCAAATAGACGGAAAAAAACATGAAAGTCCGATTGGTGTCAATCAACACCAATTGTTTTTTACTATGGTTTCACACACATTCACTTTTTGAAACATTGAGGCACGGATGTACCTAATACAAATAAATAAAACATCTCCAGTTAACTAGCAGATCATTCATTTAGTTCGCTATTAAATAAGAGATCTAGCGCTAAAATCAGTTGTTTTTTAAATCAAGCCTGGCGCTCGTGTCCGCTGCTATCAGTGTCATGGATGACGCGCTGCGCGAGTTGCGCAATCTTCACTCGGACGCGCGTTTCAATCCATCCAAATTGTATCTTAATTTTAATCAATGTTTCATCAACAAATTTGCCTGGATCAGTAAATATGAAGCAAATATAGTGGGCAATATAATCAGGACGGAGTCGCTGGCGTGTTCACACTTCTCTCTAGAGGCGCGTTCACTACTGCGAAGATGGCGAGTCTGCATCGTCAACTTTATCAATTTATCAATAATTCAAATGTTTCATGCATAATCATTACTTTCGCCGGTTTTGTGGCAAGCTTTATTTCAGGTGTTGCGTGATATCGCTGCGCCCAAGTATCAGTGCTTCCTTTAAGGCTAGCCTGCCTGGGCCTGGCCATATCTGAAACGTCTCACTCAATCGTTCGTTGTTTAGGTCTACATTACAGCCGTTTTAGGCGTGCGCTTTATTTGAAATGCAACATGCGATGTTGTTTAATAAAACTTTCAAACGGTAGAGGCTGTTCCTTCATAACATAGCCATAAGTCGGTGTATTTTTGCTTGATACATTTTAGGCTTATTCTCAAATAAATTCATATTGTGTTAGGGGGGCGGGATTATTACGCAATTTTAATCGGACAATTTGACCGGATTTTTTTTAATTTGAATTTGAATTTAATTTTGTCGGACATTTCATTTTTTTTTTTCGGCCAATGTCCGGTAATTACCAGACAACGGAAACCCTGCTAATAATATTAAGCTATAATAAATTATCTGGGGGGAATTTTGAGCTGAAATTTCACAGTGACATTCTAGGGACACCAGAGATTTATACTACATCTTGTGAAAAAGGGACATATGTCACCTTTAAATTATTTTGCTTCCATACATTAACTTTTTTGCTCACCAGCCACTGTGGTGAGTGGTTTTCCAAAGTTACTAGCCACTCAGCATTTTCACTGGCCACAATTTGGACACTGATACCATAGGGAATAACTACCATATAGATATTTCTAATAGCATCTCATAATTTGGCAGCCGGTATATTAGGCTACTGTCACTTTAAGACCTGACGCACGGACACATTATACTGTTTTATTTAGCCAATATATTTTATGGGCACGCACTTTGGGTGTGAGCAGAAAATCACAAAACGGGAATGAGTAAAATTGTGGTCAATACTCGCAATCCCTCGCCAGAATTCAAGCCCTGTACCACCAACAACATTCATCCGGAGCAAATAAAACAAGTGAGTAAAGAGTTGGTGTGTCGACTCGCTGTCGGAGAGATTAGAGAGTGAGAGCTGGTGTCTTTTGTATCTATTCTGCGATAGAGTTTCAGATATTTCAGTATCAATATGTATCGAAAAATCAATATTACAGCCAACACTAGATTGCACTTCGTTTATTATTTCAGATGCCTTTTTAAAAGACTACAATTGAAAAATGTATATTATATAAAATTCAACCCGCCAAAGTGGCTAGTAGGAGCGACTGCGTTCCACACGCATTGGGTGTTAATGTCAAGCCCTGCTTCCATGTAATGTGTATTATCACAGCTAGTTGTGTGTGTGTTTCAGGGAACGCAGTGCAGCAGATCGGCCTGAGCCTGCCGGTGATCATCATAAAGCAGGAGGAGTCCTGCCAGTGTCAGTGTGCCTGCAGAGACTCGGCTAAAGACAAGAGCACCGTCTCCTCAGTGGAGAAGACCAAGACCACATCACCTCCTCCTGCTCCTCCATCTCTCCCTGAGGATCCTCCATCAGAGCCGCCCCCCGACCCCGTGACCCCTGACCCCCCCGCCGACGGCCTGGACCTGCTCAGCCCGGAGACCACGGCCAACATCGAGGCCCTGCTGGACCAGTTCCCCAGCGGCGCCCCCTAGAGGTTCATCTGTACCGTGTACAGATGCGTATCTCACACACACCATCCAAACCAGTGGGTTATGGTGCACTTTGAAGGCAGGCAGAGCAGTTTAGGGCACCAGGCAGAGTAGCTTCTCATTGTGCTTAGGGCTGCACGATTAATCGACATTTACATGTAATCGCACTTAAATCGAGTTGGCTATTCGTGATGTTGAAGTGGCAAAGGCTGTGATTATTAGTCATGTGCAGCGTGTCAGTGAAGCACGGCTCAGTAAACGCGGCTCACTCTGAAAGCACTGCGAGTTTCAGTCGCTTATAACGTGCATTTGAAAAAGCAACACACGTCAAACATCTTTCCAGACACGAGACGCATTTATGAACCTCTTGTCCAACAAAAGATAACATTTATAACACGCTTTTACTCCAAACTCCCTTCATAAGCACAGCTGAGCTCGTCCTCCTGTGAGGTGATGCGCTTCTCACACAGAATAAGGCAGTCGTGTGTTTATTAGTCGTGTTTAATCAATCAAAGCGTTTCCCTCTTCTGTTTATTCAGATACAGAGATACTATGAAGCCCACAGGGGTTTCCTGGAGTGATGTGCGTTAGCGTACTTCTGCGGGGGATATTTGCCGTGTGTGTGTGTGAGACGGCCTCTGGTGTTCAGAAGGATATGTGGTGTGTGTGTGTGTGTGTGACGCCCTCTGGTGTTCAGAGGGATATGTGGTGTGTGTGTGTGTGTGACGCCCTCTGGTGTTCAGAAGGATATGTGGTGTGTGTGTGTGTGTGACGCCCTCTGGTGTTCAGAGGGATATGTGGTGTGTGTGTGTGTGTGTGACGCCCTCTGGTGTTCAGAAGGATATGTGGTGTGTGTGTGTGTGTGACGCCCTCTGGTGTTCAGAGGGATATGTGGTGTGTGTGTGTGTGTGACGCCCTCTGGTGTTCAGAGGGATATGTGGTGTGTGTGTGACGCCCTCTGGTGTTCAGATGGAGAAGCATTTACTACGATCAGCCGCTACACAAACTGTGCATTTAATAATCGCAGCCTTTGCCAGATCGCGTGCGGTTTCACTGTGATTAATCGTGCAGTCCTGATTAGCTTTGAGCCTCATTAGCGTTTAACCCCGCTGAATTATTACTATTGACATTTGCTTATAGAGATTCACCGTACAAAACAAGAGGCGTACATGCTGTACTTAAGTTTAAACTTGAAATCCACTAGATCGATGGGATATATATATATATGAGACTTCAACAGTAAGGCCTCCATCATGGTTTGAAGTCGTCTACACGAAGTCCTGCACATTGAAACATTGAAGTATTTTATGTGTAATTTATTGGAAAGGCTGCAGTGGTCATGATAATGTGATTTTTGAGATGTTTTATTTTACGGTTTGTCAGTCTGGATGAATTGCGATGAACATTTCCCTGCCTTTTAAATGTAATTCCGAGGTTTGTTTTGGCTGCCTATAACTTAGTATTTAATTTTATATATGTTAATTTATTAAAATACTCAATTGTTGGATTAATGTAGCTCTCTTTCCCACATTTTCAATCAATTTTCGCTCCCCAACTGGGCGGAGCAAGATACTTTAAGTGGATCTCACGAAACCCGTCTAGAAATTCTTCGGGTCATATTTCCCATAATCAAAAGAAAGATATGAAATGGTTTTTTTTTTGCATAAAGAAATTAACCCAATTTTATAACCATTTAGAATATTATGGCTATTAATGACCATTTCATCCGTGATTCTCATCATGTTAATGTAAAAAAAAAAATTAAACTGAATTGAATTTAGACTGATTTTAATCTTAATTTTTATTTATGCAAAAAAAAAAATGTCCTCTTGATTTTTGGATGAAATATGAGCTCTTGAAACTCTGTGATGGGATCAGACACTGTCATCTTGCCTTTGTGACGGGCGTGTGCTTGGGTTTTCTTTCTTCTCTCTCATTGGTTGTTACAGATCGCAGTGTTTCTGCGTCTCGTCGCGTCGCCCTGCACTTTCCTTTCCTGAAAACCCCACGAGTCTCTGTTGTGGCCCGCTCAGGGATTCAGAAGAACAAGCAGCAGTGTGAGTGAGTGAGTGAGTCAGTGAGTGAGTCAGTGAGTGAGTCAGTGAGTGAGTCAGTGAGTGAGTCAGTGAGTGAGTCAGTGAGTGAGTCAGTGAGTGAGTCAGTGAGTGACTCAGTGAGTGACTCAGTGAGTGAGTGAGTGAGTGAGTGAGTGAGTGAGTGAGTGAGTGAGTGAGTGAGTCAGTGAGTGAGTGAGTGAGTCAGTGAGTGAGTGAGTCAGTCAGTGAGTGAGTGAGTCAGTGAGTGAGTGAGTCAGTGAGTGAGTGAGTCAGTGAGTGAGTGAGTGTGTGAGTGAGTGAGTGAGTGAGTGAGTGAGTGAGTGTGTGAGTGTGTGTGTGAGTGAGTGAGTGAGTGTGTGAGTGAGTGAGTGTGTGAGTGAGTGAGTGAGTGAGTGAGTGAGTGAGTGAGTGAGTGAGTGAGTGAGTGAGTGAGTGAGTGAGTGAGTGAGTGTGTGAGTGAGTGAGTGTGTGAGTCAGTGAGTGTGTGAGTGAGTCAGTGAGTGTGTGAGTGAGTCAGTGAGTGAGTGAGTGAGTCAGTGAGTGAGTGAGTCAGTGAGTGAGTGAGTGTGCGTGAGTGAGAGCGTGAGTGAGTGCGTGAGTGAGAGCGTGAGTGAGTGAGAGCGTGAGTGAGTGAGAGCGTGAGTGAGTGAGTGTGTGAGTCAGTGAGTGTGTGAGTCAGTGAGTGAGTCAGTGAGTGAGTGAGTCAGTGAGTGAGTCAGTGAGTGAGTCAGTGAGTGAGTCAGTGAGTGAGTCAGTGAGTGAGTCAGTGAGTGAGTCAGTGAGTGAGTCAGTGAGTGAGTCAGTGAGTGAGTCAGTGAGTGAGTCAGTGAGTGAGTGAGTGTGTGAGTCAGTGAGTGTGTGAGTCAGTGAGTGAGTCAGTGAGTGAGTCAGTGAGTGAGTCAGTGAGTGAGTCAGTGAGTGAGTCAGTGAGTGAGTCAGTGAGTGAGTCAGTGAGTGAGTCAGTGAGTGAGTCAGTGAGTGTGTGAGTGAGTGAGTGTGTGAGTCAGTGAGTGTGTGAGTCTGTGAGTCAGTGAGTCAGTGAGTGAGTCAGTGAGTGAGTCAGTGAGTGAGTCAGTGAGTGAGTCAGTGAGTGAGTCAGTGAGTGTGTGAGTCAGTGAGTGTGTGAGTCAGTGAGTGAGTGAGTGAGTCAGTGAGTCAGTGAGTGAGTGAGTGAGTGAGTGAGTGAGTGAGTCAGTGAGTGAGTGAGTGAGTCAGTGAGTGAGTGTGTGAGTGTGTGAGTGTGTGAGTGAGTGAGTGAGTGTGTGAGTCAGTGAGTGTGTGAGTCAGTGAGTGTGTGAGTCAGTGAGTGTGTGAGTCAGTGAGTGAGTCAGTGAGTGAGTCAGTGAGTCAGTGAGTCAGTGAGTGAGTGAGTGAGTGAGTGAGTCAGTGAGTGACTCAGTGAGTGAGTGAGTGAGTGAGTGAGTCAGTGAGTGAGTGAGTCAGTGAGTGAGTGAGTGAGTCAGTGAGTGAGTCAGTGAGTCAGTGAGTGAGTGAGTCAGTGAGTCAGTGAGTGAGTGTGTGAGTGTGTGAGTGAGTGTGTGAGTGTGTGAGTGAGTGAGTGAGTGAGTGTGTGAGTGAGTGAGTGTGTGAGTCAGTGAGTGTGTGAGTCAGTGAGTGTGTGAGTGAGTCAGTGAGTGAGTCAGTGAGTGAGTCAGTGAGTGAGTCAGTGAGTGAGTCAGTGAGTGAGTCAGTGAGTGAGTCAGTGAGTGAGTGAGTGAGTGTGTGAGTCAGTGAGTGAGTCAGTGAGTGAGTGTGTGAGTGAGTGTGTGAGTCAGTGAGTGAGTCAGTGAGTGAGTCAGTGAGTGAGTCAGTGAGTGAGTCAGTGAGTGAGTCAGTGAGTGAGTCAGTGAGTGAGTCAGTGAGTGAGTCAGTGAGTGAGTCAGTGAGAGTGAGTCAGTCAGTGAGTGAGTCAGTGAGTGAGTCAGTGAGTGAGTCAGTGAGTGAGTGAGTCAGTGAGTGAGAGCGTGAGTGAGTGTGTGAGTGAGTGAGAGCGTGAGTGAGTGAGAGCGTGAGTGAGTGTGTGAGTGAGTGAGAGCGTGAGTGAGTGAGAGCGTGAGTGAGTGAGAGCGTGAGTGAGTGTGTGAGTGAGTGAGAGCGTGAGTGAGTGAGAGCGTGAGTGAGTGAGAGCGTGAGTGAGTGAGAGCGTGAGTGAGTGAGAGCGTGAGTGAGTGTGTGAGTGAGTGAGAGCGTGAGTGAGTGTGTGAGTGAGTGAGAGCGTGAGTGAGTGAGAGCGTGAGTGAGTGAGAGCGTGAGTGAGTGAGAGCGTGAGTGAGTGAGAGCGTGAGTGAGTGAGAGCGTGAGTGAGTGAGAGCGTGAGTGAGTGTGTGAGTGAGTGAGAGCGTGAGTGAGTGAGAGCGTGAGTGAGTGAGAGCGTGAGTGAGTGAGAGCGTGAGTGAGTGAGAGCGTGAGTGAGTGTGTGAGTGAGTGAGAGCGTGAGTGAGTGAGAGCGTGAGTGAGTGAGAGCGTGAGTGAGTGAGAGCGTGAGTGAGTGTGTGAGTGAGTGAGAGCGTGAGTGAGTGAGAGCGTGAGTGAGTGAGAGCGTGAGTGAGTGAGAGCGTGAGTGAGTGAGAGCGTGAGTGAGTGAGAGCGTGAGTGAGTGTGTGAGTGAGTGAGAGCGTGAGTGAGTGAGAGCGTGAGTGAGTGTGCGTGAGTGAGAGCGTGAGTGAGTGTGTGAGTGAGTGAGTGAGTCAGTGAGTGAGAGCGTGAGTGAGTGTGTGAGTGTGTGAGTGAGTGAGTGAGTGAGTCAGTGAGTGTGTGCGTGTGTAGTGCACTACCCGGCCACGGTTCAGCCTGCGCTCGTTCGCCCCTCTCTTATAAACCACTGCTGTAAAGACTCTAGCCGACTGTAATGTAAATATATAGTAGATTTGAAATGATAAATGTTTCAGCCATTAGATTGTATTTGTATTTTTGTACAGGTGTGTGTGTGTGTGTGTGTGTGAGACGAGAGCCGAGCCTCTGCACTGCCTGCGCTGTCAGCTGTGTGTAGTGTGTAGTTCTCCAGAGACCCTGTTATTCGAGAACTGCCTTACAACTCCAGCTCGCTCTTTCATTCCCCCCGCCTCCGATCCCGGCGGAGAAACACTGAGCCTTTCCTGTCCAGTGCCAAACAACAGCGCGAGTCGTCGCTGCGCGAGAACCTGTGCGTCGCTCCTCAGTGTCGATCCGGTGCTTTATTTATCCACTACATTTTCTTCTTATCCATGAACTGTGCAAACTTATTACTGGAACATTAAAGTTTGAACAACAGTTCTTTCCCTAATGACCGGCACTTATCCAGCCGATAAACATGATCAACCGTACCTTAATAATAATAATGCACATGCTTTCTGACCTTATTGTTTGTTGACATTTCATATAGGACTAGTTACTTTACAGGATGAAAGATTAATTTCGACTGAAGCCAATTTTTATTCATCAACTAACAAAAACAACTATGCAATGTGTCACAGAGCATCAAACCACTCCATCTGTACATGTTCACACGCAAAATATCACGTGTCAGCGTTCATATTTAGCATATGCAAGTCATCATAGAGTGAAACTGTCCTGTTGCATTGAATATTTCACATTTAAAAGCCTTTTTTTTCTTAACCCATCAAAATGTTGTTGTGTACAGTTATGTTTGATGTGACTTAATCTGTTGTTTTGTTTTGTATCTGGGCATTGCAATGTTTATATATACATACATATATATATATATATATATATATATATTCCTGTTGAGAACTTTTGCTGCTTTATGTAATTTCTTTGACACTCACATGACATAAAAATCATGCATTTGTTTTAATGTTGGAAAAATAGTTGTGAAAAACTACTTGCTTGACCTTCAAGATCAGCTTTTTTTTCATGTTGAATCATTCCACCTTCGTCAGGTGCCATCATCCTCATCATCATCATTACGCTTTCATTCACACGTGGGTCTTCTGAAGGCATTAACTTATGATGTGGGCCTTCAGTGCAACAAAAATAGCTTATTAAACAGTTGCTTTTCATAGAAGATATTTATTCAGAGATTCTGATCTTCTGGTCCGGCATGTTAGTCGAGTGACAAATGCTTCCACAATGACTGCTTTTGATACCCAGAGTGTGAGGAAACTGTAAAGATCTGTATTTTTAAAGAATGTATAATGTGAAATTTTTTCTCATATGCTTGTTTTGTATAAAGTATTATGGCAAAGTAATAACTTTTTGAATCAAAAAGCAATACAATACCAGTAAAACCCTGTGTGATTGTTTACATTATTTCTTGTTTCAGAAAGAAATCGTTCCATCCCAACACTTTCACATCAAGATTTTATTTATAAACACACACACACACATATTACAAATCATAATCTGCTCAGTTATCTGGTCCTGGATATGATGTGTTCTCGAGGCCTTTTTCCTACCAAAATAAAAACTTGAATAAGTAGAGTTGAAAAGCCTTTTAAAAGCAACTCTATAAAACCGTATTAAACCCACAGCGACGATGTTCTGGATTTGCAGCAGGTCGTTCATGATCGCGTCGCAGAGCCAGATCTGCTTCTCTCTCTCAGAGATTTGGGCATCAAGAGCCTCCAGGCTTCTCTCAGAAGGACACTGTTTTAAAAAAGAATTAATCATGTGGTTTTCAAACATAAATGCAAAAACATACAATTTACCTGATTTGTGTGTAGATCATCTTCCTGGGCATTAGTGTCTTCAGGTTTTCCTGAAGCGGGACATTTATAAAGAAATATATTAACCTATGAGATGGTTCTTCAAATGTATGAAAATATCTTACCTGCAATTGACGCCATTTTTAGGTTTGGTTGTACATCTAGATGCAGTCGGCCTTAATTATATCAATTATTCATTAGTCATAATTAATTACATCAGCAAGTTAATTATATGTATTGGTCTTAACAGGATGCACCTGGGGTATTTGCACTTAATTAGTTGTTCTTGCAAGACTAAATCACCACAGTGGAATTATCTAAATACTTCAGTCATTTAAAGCCCCCCTGTGGTGAGAATTAAGTATTTGTTTATGTGTCTATGGTGTTTTTAATGTGCTTTAAGACAAACCATGTGTAAATTCATAAGTCGACAGCATTGCTGAGTATTTTCTCCTTAAAACTGCAGTGAACCAAAGACAGTCTCAAAAACGCCCCTGTTTCCCGCATCACAAACATGTGACCAATCCCGTCACGTGTGGGCGGGGCTTGATAGTTAGACGGAAGCTGTCTGATGGTGAACGGGAACATGGGCAGTTTGTGTAACATTAGCAAGTAAGCTCACTTAAAGACTTATTTAGTAAAATTTTACCAGAAGAGGTTTTACAATTTGTATTACATGTTAATGTTAAAATGCGTGTATAATATTAATTGCTGTATTTATTTATTTTTCAGTTTGCTTGGTTTTTATTTTTATTGTATGTTAAGTAACTTTTGTAATTCAGTTTTTGCCATGAAGATAGCCGCAGATGCTGACATGGCATTCAATAAAACTATACTGATACTGTACAACCATAGACTATAAAACAAGTGTAACATTAGCAACGCACTCATCAATGTCAGATGATTAAAGAAGGCGGGGCTTCACAGTTTGTCGTGCAGTGTCTCCAACAAGCGACGCCATTTTCTTTGACTCGCGATGCGGATCATACGAGGACGGAAAACACCGAAATTAAGTGTTTTATCTGATTTACGATATTTATTTTATAACATCGATATTTATGTGCTGTGTGCGCGCCTAAACTTTTCTCAGAGACTTTTTCTTTGACTCGAGGAGCGGAGCAGACGAGAAGTTGCTTTTAAACAGGGAAACGCCGAAAGTAAGTATTTCATCTCATTTACTATGTATTTTATAACATCATATAGATTTATACCGATATGTTGTGCACACTTAAACGAGCCGACACTTTTTTTCACTGATGACATCTCTGACTCGCGACACGTAAGTTAGACTAACCATGTGTAAATCTTCCAGGTCATGCACCAAATATATATGTCTCTTTATTTCTCCCTCTTTCACCCCGATCAAGACAGAGACTCCCCAGCCGTTTGTACAAATGAGACTTCAGTAAGTTTGCTTTGAAAATGGCCGGTTAGTTAACTTACACTTCAGACTGCAGTTCTGGGGAGACAACTAGGCCTAACATAAGACAGACTGTCAGTCCAAATCTGATTTTTATGCACATCCGGTCAGATTCAGATAGTGTGAACAGTTAAAAACCACATGAAATACGATCTTTACAAATCCGTTTACTTTCTAGCTACATTCATATGTGGTTTGAAATCCGATTTAAATCGCATTTCTGGAAATCCGGTCTCAGTCTGAACGATCTGATCGGATTTTGCGTGGTTTAAGACTTTCTCACGCCACGAACAACATTGTCAGACGTTGTTTATAGGAAACATGTTGAACATGTACAATTTAAATAAGTCAACATCTCTATTGCAAACCCCTCCATGTTGCGGTTGTTGTTTTTGGCGTGTGCCTAGCAACGCAACGTCATTGCCATAGAAACCGATGCAGATATTCCTGAAAACGGAAGATCTGCGCGGACACACACATCGGATCTGATAACACTTGCGACACACAGTGTGGACATCAATCACTTTAGATCCGATTCCAATCGGATACACGGTATAGGCTAATAATAATAAGCGAATAATTATTAAACGAGATTAGCACATTATTATTATTATTATCGAATAATAATAAAGATAATCGGATTTGGAATGACAGTCTGAACTAGGCCTAGAGCAGCGAAAATGTACATTTCGATTTAATTTGATTCTCACAGTATTACAGTCTTTATGAAATAAATATTAGGTTAGCACAAATTATTAAATATATTACCTTTTTGTTAAATAAATTCTTTGAAATGGGAATTTTCAAACGATTGTGGTCAACCCTTTATATGAATATAAACATCATCACAGAATCGGTTTGCCCATTGTCTTGTGCAGTGATGATGTTTCATGTATTCATAAAGGGTCAATTAAGTTAACGTTACATACATTTAATATTTTAACATTATTTAACAAATTAAAAATTACCTATAACTCAATTGATTGTGATGTTATTTCATAGCCAACATTTCATAAAAAGTAACTTGTGTTATTTAACTTAAAGTTAAACACAATGATAAAATATTCACACATATTTAATAAGATTTCATACATCAAGAAGTGATTGATTATAAATTGTTTTTATTCACACAGTTTTGCAATGATATATCATTTAAAGCTAACGTGATTAACTATGTATAACATATGATCATTTCAAAGGAAAGTCAGTAACGTTAAAGGAGAAGATGTCAAGGAAGAAAAAGATGTACGCAAAAGAGATGTTTGTGAATGAAGTGGAAGCACAAATGTACAACATTCCCCACAACACTCTACAGGACTACTATATATATATATATATATATATATATTAGGGGTGTAACGGTACACAAAAATCACGGTTCGGTACGTACCTCGGTTTTAAAGTCACGGTTCGGTACGTTTTCGATACAGCAAAAAGTAAGAAATGCCAGAGAAATTTCCTATTTGTTAAAAGAAAAAATATTTTTTAAATAAGTGTGAGTTTTCCTTCATCTTGAAACTTTCAGGTTTATAAATGGGGGTCATCTTTGAAGGATGAACAAATAATGTTTTGGTCATCACATTAAAAATAACATTTTAATATATGAAGAGTTTAGATGCAAAAGCCATTTGAAATTTTCTTCTAGAATGATCATTTTTATCAAGCTTGTATATTTAAGTTCAGTAATTTCACTTAAATGGCAATGAAGATTGCCTATTAATTGTCATTTGAGTAAAATTACTGAACTTAAATATACAAGCTTCATAAAAATGATCATTCTAGAAGAAAATTTCAAATGGCACTTATAGAGGCTTTTGCATCTGAAATCTTCATATAGGCTATTTATTTATATAATATTTGAGTTTTGAAGTGCTGGAAAAAGATGTGTGAAGTACTTGTAAGCATTTCACTATTCCAGCCAAACTGGTTACAGTTAGTGTTACTATATTAAATCCATGGTGAATGTTGCTGGTCTGTGGACAAAAGTATTACTAGTTCATTCACGGCACAATGTTTCTCCTGGTGTCCACATCAGCGCTGTTTGATCTAATAGAGATCTACGGTTAATAACGGAGAAATGTGAATGCTTCTCACTAGATCTCGCAGCGATGTTATTACTTCAGTGGCGAATTCAAATGTTTCTCTTAGCGCTGTGTTGTAACGGTTGTAACAGTGTCGCTTGATCGAGATCGGCTCCCGCTGCACAGATGTTGCTGCTCCGAACTGATAAACGATCCGTGAAGCACAATAGCGCAGTTTCGTTCCGGTTTCATTACGCTTGCCATTTGATGTTTCGCCAGCGCGAATTTTGTCGGCAGGAAAAATGGTCCAAGGAATCGTTCGGTTTGTATGCGTACCGAACCGGAAGCCTCGAACCGAAACGGTTCAATACGAATACATGTACCGTTACACCCCTAATATATATATATTCCCTCATCCTAATTCGGCCCTGACACCTACAGAGGAAGAGGCCCTTATTTCTTGGATGGCAGACCATGGCTTCCCAGTTACAAGATCCCTAGTCAAAATACTTGGGATAACTGGAATCATCAAGGAGAGAGAGCACCGCTGTCAATGTGGAGAAGGCCGAGCGATGATATCCCATGATACCCAGCAGGGCTCCAGGACGGGTCTGGTCACTGGTGCGAGGGGGTCTTGCTGTGGGGAAGAAGCAGTTTTCTCCTCCTCAATGTTCACCCCTCACAGCCCAGAATATCCAGGCTGGCGTCTTTCCTCTGTCCAGGGGTGCTGTGGACACACAACACAGGTCATTTTAACATTAATACAATGATAATTTATCCTCTAAAGGTGATGATACACAGGGCAGCTTTTTAAACAATGTTGCCGTCAACGGGCCACCAGATGAGACACAGGGCCCACGACCGACCTAAAGTATCCAGATAGAAATGTATTGCCCATTTTCGATGGGAAAGTGCCCAAGCAACAATCGCTCGGCAAGATTGCTCAAAAAGTTGCCCTGTGTATCGTCACCTTTAGCTACTTGCATTTCTTTTCAAGCGTGCTAATGAGTTTACCCATCTGCAGTGGAGGTGACGCCACTCCTTCACCGGCTTCAGCAGGGAATCACCAGAAGTGACTGTTTTACCCCATTTACAACATGTATTTTAAAACATCATTTTGTTTTAGAACGATATCTATGTGTTGTGC